TTATACCAAGCGCACACGCAGCATATAGAGACAGCGAGCAAAGGCGTAGGGGGAAGGGGACACGCCTAACAGCATGGGTTATGTGCTAATGAAAATTGCAGAAGACCCGACCAGACTAGACAACCGACTATTTAAGGATCCTCTCGCACTGCTCTCTGATCTGATGGCGTTGATTGAAATGCGTGTACGGGGCAAACAAAGTAGCTGAAACGCTTCTGTCATAAACCTATGTAAGTTGGGGCAATGGAGAGGAATGGGCTGGCATATATGTACTATGCATGTACGAGTATGTAGTAGCTTTTGTTTGCCTTTCGGGCTATTCATGCGCTCTGTTTCTGTCATCTTTTACTCGCACACAGATATGTACACTCTCCCATTTAAATGTCAATAAATCATAAGCGAGCCTGGGGAAGAACTGGGAAACGGGGGACACGACACGTTTCCCTTTATTTTTAGACATTTTTCCAACATTTGCAGCTTAATGAGGTTTAGTGTTTGGATCACAACAGCACAAACAATGAAGCTTATTTATGATAGGAAATCTATCCCAGCCCAACCCAACCGAAACCCCAGAGAAGCGGAACAAGTTAAGTGTTTTGTTCTGCTAGAGGAATTCGACAAACAGAATTTATTAATGAAGATTTATGCAATATTTACCTAAACGAGCGCCGATTCGTTAGCATTAATAATACGAAAATTCACGAATCAATTAGATCATCATGCACAGAATGGCTCCAATTTGGGCTAGGGCGCACCTGAAGCTAAATTGGAAGGCTAATACGACTAGAGAATACCCTCCCCTCGGCTTTTGTTATGTACTTGGGGCCTAAGTGCAGGATAGTATCAAAGACAATGTAAAGTAAAGACTAAAGTAAAGGGTATGTCTCGTCAGTCAGCGGCCTGGAGCCACTTTCAAAAGCCAGCCTGAAAAAATCGTGTACCAAACAAATATATGAGCGTTACTCGACTTAATTTTTTTATTGTTTAAGGCCTCGGAAAAGGTCCATTCTACCTGCAACATACATACATATATCTACACAAGAATTCCATATAACATAGTAAGTACTTGAGCTCCAAGTACTGGCTACAATATTCAAAAATTAAATATATGTATGTGCGGTGCATATGGAGATGTTGATGATGATGATGATCAGAGGAGGGTGATTTGCGCACCGCGGGCCACACGAAAAGTGCCCGCATCCGAATGGCCATAAAAACAAACCCATTCAAGTAAAAGGAAGAGGAAAAATGAATCGGAATAAAGGGAAGAATCTACTTTCGATGGGCCATTAAGAGTGTTCATAAGGTAAACATAGGAAATGCTTTATTGTTTATGAACGCACTTAATTGGGACTGGGTTTGGGGTTGGGGTTGATGTTTCGAGGCTGTTCCTGTGGACGCGCGGGATGAGTAATTGCCGATGGTATAAGGCCAAAAATAATTATGAGGAAACTAGCCAGCCAGTCGGCCAGTGGCCGGGCTGTTTTCAGGTAGTGGGGTTGAGTACTCTACCCTCTCATAATCCATCTTCATCCATAAAATAAACAATTTTCGTATGCATCAATCCCTCGTCGAGTACATAACGTTTTCCATTCTGTGTGCATGTGTCCGTGTGTGCGTGTGTGTGTGGATAAATTAGAAAATATTTGGCAATCAATTAATTGATTTTCCAACTGAAAATTTACGATTTGAATGTGTGTGTATGTACTTGAGCATTTCCTTTTGAAAATTGATTGCTGATTTGGGGGAGAGCGGGTGTTGGAGGGTTATTGAGTGCCGTTTTCATGTTAATTTCATAATTTTTACGCTATTCCGGGGAAATGAGCATGCATGTCATATGGCAGCATCTCTATCTTTGGAGGAGTGTGTGCCTGTGTGTGTATCAGTGTGCAGTGTGTGTCAGTGTGTGCGGACATGCCGCTGAAATACTAATTATGTGCGCGATTTAAATAGATTTTTCATTTATTCAGCTAGGCCATCATTATACACTTGAAAAGGGTATTGGGATTTTGAACAGATGAATGCACCGCTTTGGGTTATACGGAAAAATATAGTGAATCAAAATTTACAGCCACCCAAGGGAGTACACATAAGATCGCATCACTATTAAATCATATATCTTCCACTACTTCATGTATCTTCCACTACTTCATGTATCTTCCACTACTTCATGTATCTTCCACTACTTCATGTATCTTCCACTACTTCATGTATCTTCCACTACTTCATGTATCTTCCACTACTTCATGTATCTATAAGAATATCTTAATTTTTCTAAAGAGAAGATTTTTTTCTGAAGACAAAAATTAGGTTGTAGGCCTAATCGCAAAAATCATTTTAAAAAATTCAATAATCGCAATTTAGCGACTTGTCACATTTTCATAATTTTCCCTCGGCATTTGCTGAGCCAATATCCAACAAAATTAATGAATTGATAAAAGACTTGTATGATCTCTCTCATATGGTATTTATTTCGTGTCGATACAAAGTCTATAACTGAGGATATAATGTGAGCCAAAGTTGAAGTTTTCTAACATTTTTAACGTTTCAAATACTTTGGCATTTTTTATTCAACTCTATATGTGTTACAAACATTATGGCTTTCAAATTAAACAAATTCAATTTGCTATCTGTATTATATAGTATCTTTTATGGCAGAATACATCTCGAAGGGTATCAAAATCTCCGGCCCCATAAACATCCACACTTTCTCGTTTTTGGATGAAATGGAAATGAAAACGAAGATGAGAGGCAAATGTTTTATGTTGCGCCACTGACTGGTGCGGCCTGCTGGTGGAGCGGGTGGGTGGAGTGGTGCTGCCACACGGCATGGACTGGTGGCTGGTGTTTGGCTTTTGACAGGCGCCCATCATTTCATCATTTCTGCTTGTTTTGAGTTTGAGAGGAGACTCGCTGACTGCTGCGTGACTGAGTGACGGGGGGCGGAAGTGTTGTGCGAGAGCAGGATACACAATTTTCTAATTATTTGTTGTACGCTCCACTAATAAGGCCAAATGGGGCATAAACATGCATAATTATGGCGGCGCAAACCGTTTGCCGGGTGGCATGTTGCAAACGCTGTTTCATTGTCTTGCACACAGGCCACAATCCACACAGATGGAGCCTCCTTTCAGCGAATCAGCGACTAAAATGGTATATTTTATGAAAGGATTAAGTGAATTATAGATGCTGCCGGTATTTAAATGGGAGGATGAGTTGATTCTATGGCATAAAGTGTACTTATTTGTATTCTTTTTACACTCTTCCTTTCACAGACAAACAAATTTTAAAATAATTTTTAAGCATTTAAATTACATTTTAATCCCATTTTTCCCTCTCTTTTCAGGTTAAAATCTGGTTCCAGAATCGTCGCACAAAGTGGAAAAAGCAGGATAATGTCACCAATAATGAGGCTGCCGAGCACAAATCCACAAATGCCAATAAATCGGGCGGAGGAATCGAACAGCAGCCTACGGCACCAACAACAACCGGTGGCAGTGCCGCTGCTGTGGAGAGTGCAGGCGCAACGGCCATCAAAAAGTCTACAAATGCCCAAGGAGAGAAAATTCGCGGCAGCAACAACAACAACAACAACAACAATTCGGTCTCTTTGGCCAACAACAATAGCGTTAACAATGAAGGCAAGTTGCCAAACAAACAGACAACATCAAAAGTTAAGAAACAATTAAATGCGTTGCTGGAAAAGGCAGCAAGAACATCAAATTCGAATGGCGGAAGTGCCTCAAATCGCAGCGAGAACGAGAAAGTTGAAATGGCTGCCACCAAATCCGGCGAGAAGCGTCATCACCCATCCAACAACAACAACAATGTGGGAGAGTCCAAGTTGATGCATCAGCGCCTGCACCAGCATGCCATAGCGCTGACCGTGGAGCCGGCCGCCCCCTTAGAGCAGACTGAGAAGCTGGACATCAAGCTGGAAGAGTCGCCGCAGCATCGCGAGCTCCAGTTGAGCCTGCAGCGTGCTGCTGTGGCCGCCAAGGCAGCCGCTGCTGCCGCTCAGCAGAACGGCTGCAGTCCACCGCCACAGAATGCAGTGCCTACGGCGCTCCTGACCGAAATGGATTTCGAGAGCAGCCTGGCCGCCTCCAAGATATCCATAGCCCTGTCTTTGGCCAGCAAACAGATGAAGCAGGCCGAGGCCGAGGCCAAGGAGAAGCTGGTGAAGCAGGAAAGCGAGTCTGAGGACGATGAGGAGACGTCCACCGAGCATGGCGACTCCACAGAGGCACACGACTCCCAGGATCAGGATGTGTCGTCGATGCGCGAGATCTAAGCTGGGGAATCAGTCACTCCGGAAACAGTCAAATTAACCTGTGCCAAAAAGTCGAATATTGCTCACACCCACACACACCAAACACACCAAACACACCAAACACACCAGACACACCCCTCCCCATACATCTTTAAATATAATTGTAATTGTAACTATAAATATAATTTACTTAACACGTACGATTGTAACTCTGTTCACCCCTAGGTGTGTGTATTTGTATTTAATTTATTGTATGCTTAAGCGATTTAGCCTAGGACTAGGACTGGGCCTTGTAAATGTTGCCATTAGAAACGCATTTATGTAAATGTTTAAATGGAGAGCCACTGCAGCCACTACGTAAATGTAATTTGAACTTTCGAAAATTTCATGTGATAATGTATACGATGGCGAGAGGATAGAGGATAGAAGATAAAGAATAAAGGATAAAGGATAGGGAACAGAAGATACGCGTTGCCCGGAGGCATAGCAACAATTACAAATTGCAAAATTGATTTTACTACTTGAACTATGAACTATATAAATGTAGGTCTAAGGCTATTGTATGTGTACGCTATGCTACCCTGTAAATTGCAATTGAATGAAACATATTTATTGAGTGTTTGTACAAAACAAAAAGCCCGAAAAAAAAACTAAATAAGGCAAAAGAGAACAAATCACCGCCGTTACACATTTTAAATTCAACAAATTAAAAAGAATATAAAAAATAAATTCAATGAATCACAGGCGTCGCATTTTGGCCGGTGGTCGGGCGGGGAGTTCTGCTGGCACATCCACCACACCCTCCGAGGTGATCAGGAATTCGGCAAAGCTGTTGGGCGTCTCGGGAGAGTACACAACCTCAAGCTTTCGTACTGTGAGCAGTTGATCCGTGACCCGGTGCTGCTTGGGCACCCGCGAAATGCGCATGCGAGTGCGTCCCAGATGCGCCCATTGCAGGCCCAGGCAGGGTACTTCATCCTGCAGCGACCCGGTCGCCAAGCCACTGCCACTGGACGCCACTTGATTGACGCATACCACGGCACAGTTGTACTTGTCCGCATAGCTGATCAGGGCATCGGCCAGGCGGCGCATTTGACGGGCACGCTCCAGAAAGTCCGTATAGAGCCGGAAGATGGCAGCCACGGAGTCGATGATGATCAATCCAATGCTGTGCTGCTGCAGCAGACGCGGCAAACGATTGCTCACACAGTTGATAAGGGGTTGCTGAAGTGGATTTGAATAGGATAAACTGGGTTCTTTAAGTGGTTTTCTCTCACTCACGCTCTCGTACTGATGTTCGACGAAAATGTTTCCCAGAAAGTTCAGTTGCTCCTGGGGGTAGCGCGCCTCTAAGGCCTTGCTCATCTCCAGCATACGGCGCGCCGGAAAGGCATCCTCTGTGCATATATAGGCCACTCCCCTGCCCAGGCCCCCAAGTTTCAGTGGCAGCTGAACACATAGCGCGAGCTGCAGTAGCAGTTGTGTCTTGCCCACGCCGGCGGCCCCGCAGATTTCGGTTATACCCCGCGTGACCACGCCTCCGCCCGTACAGCGATCCAGGGCAGAGCAGCCAAAAGATACACGTGACCATTTGACATTGGCCAGTGGCTTGAACAGGGAATCGGCTGGGGGGGAAATCAGTTCAAGTGCAGGTCAGTTTCACTCTCGAAAATGGTTATCCCTTACCTGACAGCGGGGTCTCCGCTAGCCACTTGGCCGCCGCATCCTTCAGCACGCGGACATCGTCCGGCGTGCACTTACGCACCAGCGTGTAAAGTGATTTGGTGCGGGTGTCCAGAAACTTGATCCTGGGCGTCGTCAACACGGCCTCTGGCGTGAGAACATTGACTGAAGTGGGAATTGCATTAAAGGGGCATTAGATGACACTTCAACAAAGTTCCCCATTCTTACCGCTCTCCGCAATTTCCCTAATATGCTTAGGCAATTGATCCAAAAAGTTTGTCATCGCTGCGAAGCCCGGAGCGAGTGTGATGGCATGCCTGGTGCTGCTTTGCGTGCGGCCCGACACGGAAGGTGTCTCGTCTCAACACCTGCGGAATTATCTCCTTGGCAGCGAATAATTTATTGATCAAGCAAACCTAAACCATTGCCGACCCCACGATTTGAGACTGCCGGCTTTCATCGGGAAATCAGCTGTCTTTGAAAGTAGGCCAAACATAGCAAAAGTGACCCGGACAATGCTTCATTATGGCTTTTACCGAAACTTATAATGACTGTCAATCATAAAAACACCAAAAATCACTTGCATAATGGTTTGTTTTCCAATCATTCATTTAATTGCGTACATTTTTTGCACAGAGAAAAACACACAAGAACGATCGATAGTTGCAGCCGATAGTTGGCCACGATCGTTGCTGCGACCTGCTGCTGCCGCTGCTCCTGCTCCTGTTCATGAAATTTGTATGTTTGACTGCAGTTGCTGTTGTTGGTGTTGTTGTGGTTGGAGTGGTGTCTAACTTAACAAACTATTTGCGGGCTCTAATGCTTGGGTGTGGGCTTGGATAGCTCGGCCAGTGCCCGGGCCTCGGCTTCGGCGTTGCGCTTCTTCTCTTCGGCCAACTTTGCATCGCGGACCACCTTCTGCTGTGCCTCGATCTCGCGGACCTTCTCCTCCTTCTTGGACAGGCGGCTCTGGTGGGCGGCGCCGTAGGCAATGCCCACGAGCAACAGGGACCATCTGCCGAGCTTGATCAGCGGCGAGACACGGACTGGAGGCTGAGACATGGCTAGTAGTTATGTAATGGTCCGACCGAAAACTGCAAGAAAAGAGAACACATCAATTACGTACACTATTTCAAAGGCTCCTCATAGACGGCGTTTCAACCACCGTTTCACTTGCGGCTGGTTTTATATCCAAATAATCTATTAAATAAGCGCAATTACCACAAATCGATGCGATTGCAACAGTAGCAAAATATAACCTTAAAACAGCTGTCAGATTGGCAAGTGAGCTATCGATATTTCTATCGGTAGTTGCGCAGAGTTGCCGCAATGTTATTGTTTCGCGAAATAATAGAATATTCTATATTTTAGATATATAGTAAAAGTACGACCTGGTTAAATGTATAAATTTGATTGCGTCTAGAAAGGTAAAAAGCTGTCAAGTGAAATATGTTTCAACGCCTACATATGTTATCATAGTTGCAACACTAAATATACCTTGCATCGCGATGCGAATGTCAAAGGCAGAACTCGAAACCTGGAAGAAAAAAAAGTGTTGTTTTATTGAAAACATGGCGAATTGCAGCTAAAAGAGCAGGTGCAATCACAAACTATACGATTCTGTAATTAATTGCCAGGCAGCAGTGCATAGAAATTCAGGGTGCATCAAAATTGACGCGTGTTAAATGCAAACAAGAAAATTCCAACACAGACCTTGAGTGGTAGCACACATACACATCTGGCAAACACACACACACACATCTTGATAAACGAGGCCCAGTCGAAAACGTCATACACATATTCCCCGTCCCGCCCGCTCGCTGCTTTAAGCCAAATTAGCAGACTTTTTCAAGCAGGAAGTCCGGTCCGAGGATCCAACCACGACGACAGCTGCAAAATGGTAAACGTGCCGCCCCTGCTGTGCAGCACGCCGCCACCGATCGATTTTGGCGAGGACGACGACGACTCCGGGCTGCAGTCGACGATCAACTTGGACGACGGTGACGAATACCCCGACGATGACTTTCGCTTAGTCACCAGCCGCTCAACGGGGCTCGAAGCGGGGCTCAATGCAAAAGGTAATTTGGCTGCCAACTGGGTTTTTATTAGTTCTGAAAGTCTTTTCTAATTTGTATGCTCCACTTGTAGAAGCACAGTCACAGTCACAGCCAGAACCCCAACCCCAATCCGTAGTCATATCAGCGTACAGTGAACGGCCGCCCGATCTGGAACTGATTGAGAATTGTGAGATTAGCAAACCATCTGTAGACGCCATTAAGCAAACTGTGGAGGCTTTCAATTACCAAGTGAAACAGTCGCAATCGCTTGAGGGGTACGACGGTTATCAGGAAACGCCCCCGCCCCTTGCTGATGAGCTGGAGGAAGACGAAGAGGAGGAGGAAGTCAATATAAATGACAACGTGCCGTCCCTTAAGTTGGACAGCCTGAGTCTGTATTCCACGGAAAGTGTCTCGGCCTCGTCCACACTGTCGCCCGTTGCAGATGCCGACGAGGAGATGCCGCCACCACCAACGACTACGACGGCAACCACAACCACAACCAAAGCACCTGCAATTGCACCTGTCCTCAGCCATCAAGTCACGCTGGAGGATGTGTCCGATGACAGCGACGAGGAGTGTTCGCCAAAGAAACCCAAAGAACTATTTATACGCGAGGGAGCCGAAGATTTCTTTGCCATTGAAGTGCTGGCCACAGCCACACTGACCTCCACCCAGACCCAGTCCCAGTCCCAGTCCCAGTCCTCCTTCTCCCAGTTGGAAAAGCCATCAGCGGATGCAGATTTATTTAATTTTGCTGATAGCTTTGAAGAGGCGACAGCACAGTCCTTTGTTCGGAAGGATGTCATCGAAGAGCAGCAGCAGCAGCAGCAACAAACGAATGATGAGGACGAATTTGATGACTTTGGCGACTTTGCTGATTTTTCGGCTGTGCCCACGCCTACAGTGGAAGCTATGCCACCGCCAGTCCAGCAGAGAAAAGATTCCCTGGAGGCTGCTCCTCCAGCAACTGCTGCAGATGATGGCTTCGATGATTTTCAAGAGTTTGCCACTCCCCCAGAAGGTGATGCCGACGATGACGATGACGATGACTTTGGTGACTTCTCAGAGCCCCTCACAGCACCCATACCCATAGCCGTAGCCGTGCCTCCGCCACCGCCGCCTGCAGCAGTCCACCTGAGCATTGATGAGCGCATCAAGCCAGTCCTAGAGCTAATGTTTCCCCTGTCCCAGGAGAGCAGTGCCGCGAATGAGGCCAAACGGCGGCCCCTGGCCCAGTGTCAGACCTTCAATTTTGGTGCCATCGAGCAGGCGCAGGCCCTGGACTATCAGTGGACCAGCTCGGAGATGAGGCACTCCCTAGTGCGGTCCCTGGGCATCGATTCAAGAAATATAGTAGGACAATTCCCACCAGTTAGGGTTGGGCTCAATGCTAATGCGATTTATGTTTATTCCAGCTCTTTGGGGACAAGTGGAATGCTTCCATGCCGCGCTTCGCTGCCAATCTGAGCTTCGATCCTCTGAAGCCGCTCAAGCCGCTGGAGGCCACGCCCCTGAACAGCCAGCAGTCAGTGGGTAAGTGCTGCATCCCAGATAGTCCCCATCTTATATGCTATATGCTATATACAGATTATACACCACTTAGTTTAAACGCAAATTAACCGCTACACAAGTTTTTCCACCCGCCTATCGCTCGCTAATTTCTCTTACAAAATGCTTCCCGTTGCCGTTCCGTTTCCCCCGCTTTTCCGGATTGGCCTGCGCTCCTTTTGTTACGGTTTTTCATTTGTTTCTCCCTCCCACACCGACACCCCACACCCTACACCCTACACCCCACACCCCACAGCCCACAGTTTTGTCCACTCTCAATACTGAATTGATGAACATTTACTCGTATCCCAAACGATGATAAATTGTATCTAGATACACATGTACAGACCTTACAATTGGAAGAACTAGACCAAGAACTAACGATGATGCTGGCTGATAAAATAAATCCTCTTGTTACCTCTAACCTCCACACCAATAACCACGAACTAAATGAAAATGGTAATGCTGCTGCTGCCGCTGCCGCTGCTGCCCGACCCCAAACGGATGACAATCTGATGATGGATTCCCCCTCTAACAAACCACACAATGATATGCACCATTCTTCATCATTAACCACACTCCTCAATAACGATAATGATAACAACAATCATGCAACAACAAACACAATAAATCTACTCACTGATCACGATGCCTTCTTGCTGGATTTTAGTAAGTTTCGTTTGGGCGTTCTGTGCGTGTGTTTGTTTGCGTGTGTGTCTGTTGTAGTGTTTTCCGTTTTGCTTTTTGTTTTTGCTCTCTTCTCTCTACTCTACTCTATTCCCTATCCAAAAATGATTCTGAATCCCCACATCTGGTTTCCCCGTTCTTGTTACTTTTGTTTCTTTGGCACAAAAAAGCATCATCTAATCCAGAGCCCTGCATGAATCCCCAGTGTTCATAGAATCACAGCTATACTCATGCCTCGTCTGTACTTTCGGGTCGCCCCGAATCACTAAACCGAAATTTTCGGATCCAACACAGTACAAATGGCGGTGGCCGGGTTTGGTTCAGAAAGCTGAGACCATGCAGGGCTCTAACCGCAACCTCCGAGCTATCTCGAAGCACAAGTAGTTGTTCCAACCCAGAAAAATATCTCCCCCCCCCCCCATTTATTTACCTAGAATTTATGGGATAATGCTGTTGATATATCTCTTGCTGAGCTTGCAGTGCCTCAAACTCTCTCCCATTTTCATACGATCTGCCCAGGACTAACACCACTAATGCTTGCTTTTCCTCTTTCCTAGGACTGGAGGCAACAACAGCTACAGCCACCGCAGCAGCACAAACGAGCCAAACTGAAGCGCGGGCTGGCCCGTCTAATGGGGAAAAGTGTGTCGTCGCCAGCAGCACCGAAACCACCAACTTTGACCAGGGCAACGTTAACCCAGACATTAATAGCGACCGCCTTGAGTCCACAGCAGCGCCACCAGCAGCAGTTGCTGCTGCAGCAGCAGCGACGCTATCGGCTGCTCTATCAGCAAACGGCTATGGCCACAACCTCAACGGCAGTGAGCAGCTGCATCAGCAACAGCAGCAACAGCAGCAACAGCAGCAGCAGCAGCAGCTGCAACAGCAACCACACCAGCAGCAGTTTGATTTGAGAGCAACCTCAACGCCATCTCCACCTCCAGTTTCAGCTCCAGCAGTGGCGCCAGAGGAGCTCAAGGGAAGCAGCACCACCAGTACTCCCACTGGCTTTGCGATGCCACTGAAGGAGACCCATATTTACACACCCTCGAAATCAGATACGGCTGTGGCAAGGACCACAACGCTAGCGCCCATTGATTTCGACTACGAGATCGCGGCCACTGGCATCATCATTGATGAGACGGTGGTCAAGAAGGAGTACCGCGATGTGGAGTACAAACCGCCGCCATTTGGCCTGGACTCGCCCAGCAGATTGCCCAGCAGCAACGGAACGAGCAGCTTTGAGCTTCCGACGACAGTGAACCCAATGGCGGAGGATGATGATTTCAGTGACTTCCAGTCGATGCCAGCGAGAACGCAAGCCTCGCTACAGCCGCCAAGGAACGGGACGCCCACGTTTGGCGAACAAATGATACTCTGCCCGGCCATATTGCTGCCGCAGGCCATTCCCCTGGCCAAAACCACCATAGAGTGGGGCGACAATGCTCTGTCCAGCATCAACGCTGAGGAAATGGCCCGCATTGAAGATCTGTTCTCGGCACAGTCCAAGCCGCCGACGATAAGTGCAACGGTTGCCAAGCAGCCGCCCCAGCAACAGCAGCAGCAGAACCAGCAGCAACAGGAGGATGATGAGTGGTCGGACTTTGTGTCGGTGCCTGTGCCCCAGCAGCAGCAGCAGCTGCAGCATCCACAGCAACAACAGTCTTTTAGCAATAATAACAATATCAACAGCTTGAAGAAGCCCCCCTCTGGGACTGGGTCTGGGCCTGGGCCGAAGGAGGATGATTGGTCCGATTTTGTGAGCAGCACTCCGCTGGCGGCCCGACCGTCGGCTCCACAGTTTAATTCCGGGGCCTGGCAGAGCGCCAATTTCTACAACAATCCACTCAGTCTCTATCAGCACCAGAAGCAGACGCATGCCCACAGCAATCTGGTGCCCAAATATCAGCACAGCGGCAGTGCCTCAACCAACCACAATAACAATAACAACAACAACAACAATGTGCCAGCCACGCCGCAGCAGATCCACATAATGCACGACTTCTCCACGGCGCCCTCGACCACGGGCGCGGGCTCGTTGGCAGCCGGAGCCACCTATCAGCAGCACCATCAGCGGCAGCAATTCCAGATAGGCAATGCCAAGGTGGCACCGCTCATATCCGTCATACCCGATCTGAGCTTTGTGGCCCCGGCCTTGCCCACAAATGCGGGGGCCTTTATGGGATCGCTGCCGAAGCCCAGTTTCGGTGGCAAGAAATGACAAATGCTGCGCGGAGGGAAACATCATCTGAATCCCCAACAGAAGCAGCAGCAACAGTCGTTGAGACCGCGTCTCCCGGCCGGAGAGGCCAGCATCCTCACGTAGAGATGCCTGCAGATGACCCGTGGAGATAGTCAGTATTATGAATCCGTCTGATAATTACCATACACCGTACCATACCGTAACGTCGTATATATAATATCTGCCAACTGCAATTGGAAGATTGCGAAAGAAATTAGCAGCAGAAAAAAGTGTTTAATGTTGTTGAAGTTATTGTTGTTGATGTTGTTGTTAGGCGTTCTAGGAACAGGCACCACTCAGGCACTCCGTTCTCACCCGGTCCCCCCCAGGAGATCGAGGAAACCCAACTCCAGTTCTGTTTCTGTCCCCCCCAGATCGTTCTTGTGCAATATTTTTGAGTCGAAACTAATTGAAATTTAGATATTTTTAGAGTGAAAAAAATTAGATGTAAAAACTAAAGATTTTATATGATTTTTGTCAAGCCAGGACCCCTCCAGAGCCAGGAACAGACTCCCGCAGTTTGAGAGCATTCCAGAGAAAAGAAAACTTCCCTTTGCGACTTCCCTCCTAATCCAACAGAATACTCCAAGAAGTCCGAATAAAGAAAAAACCCCAACCAACCCGCCTGATGCGAACTTTTCTACCACTAAACAATATATATTGTACTTAACAGATGAGAGAAAACTAAAAAGTAAACCTAAAAAAACCTAGGCATAGGCTAGCAATGTAACGATAATAGATATTAGCATATAGAAGATAGCAGATAGAGATATAGTATCTCGTGCATTCCATTCCCAGAGTGTGTGCAGATGTCTACTCGCCCATGATGATCTCCAGAAAACGCGCGCATTCGAAGGCAGAGATGCAACCCCAATCCGCTCCAGTTTTTTTTCGTTTTTTTTAATATAATTTTTGTTTGTTTTTCTCGTGTTAAAGTGTTTTTACCATTTTTATTTATTTTACTTTATGTTACGCTTTTCTTTAAGTCGAGTGTGTGTGTGTATGTGGAAATTATAAACAATTATTAACTAGAACTAAGTGTGTGTGTGTGCTTGGATGTAAATTATACTTAAGTGTATGTAAATTACAAATAGATTGTGTGTTGTGTGTTTTTATTTTGCTAAGTCAATAAAATATATAGGGCTAAAACAAGAGTACATGATACGATGTTGGGTCGCTGCTTTGATTTAAATAATAATGAATTACCTATAAACTAGTAAAACCTATTCAAAGTGCATTACTGCATTGTATTGTATTGTATAATTAAAAAGATATGCGCCGATTACAAGAAATAAAACCTATTTGAAGAAAAACAATTATTGGAGAAGCTTCTGTCATTTTGGTTGGAAATTTCTGCTTTTTTCTGTTGCTAAGGGGAAGGGCAGGAGGTTTTTGTTTACACTATATATGCGTTTATGTGTGTGTGATTGAAACCTGCTTAGGTGTGTGTGTGTGTTGAGGAGAGAGGCTATCAATCCATTGAAGCACTAGGTGTCCAGCAGTCCGCTAATCTCCTGGAGGATGCATGTGCCTGCAGATTGCGGCTGTGTGTGTGTGTGTGTGTGTGTGGGGCGTGGGGGAGGGAGTGCATGGGGCGAGGCTGTGTGTATAGCACTATGGCAGTAAATAGTACATAATAATAGTTTCAAAATTACACATGTATCTAATATAAATATCTATATAAATAGCATACGATCCGGTCTCTAGACAGATGCGAATTCAGCACATCTTCCTCTCGAAATCTTCATACCAACTTGCGTCTAAATGTTCAACAGTGTTTTCATTTCGTTATCCTTAGTCTCTAGATGCCTTAATGTTTAAGCGCATTTTCTTTTAGTTATTATTATTATCATCATCTCCCGTCTCCCGTCGCCTGTCTCTCGTCTCTCTCTCTCTCTCGCTCTGTTTACTATTAGCCTGGCTCTAACAATATGACGAAAAAAAAAAACGGATAACAAATCCAGAAAATATGTGTGTGCTTTGTGTGTGTGTGTGTGGTGTTGGTGTCGCTATCCTTTATGATATTTTGAACTAACAGTTTTCATACTTTTCCTCAAATAAAAACTAAATTCGGAGCAACGGGAAGGGCCAGCCGGGTCGGTTCGGTTCGTTTCGTTTCGAGGTTTGAACAGTCTTTGAATGGAAGTTTTGGTCATCGGTTTCTTTTCTGATTCGTTTCAGGGCATAATGGATCTGATGATGATATCTATACATATATAAAAGCTAACAAAGAAGCACACAAACACAAAACAAAAACCAGTTTTGCCGATTTTAACCGATTTTGTGGTTGTTTCCGCTTAAAGCTGAACGATTTCCGAACCGTTTCCCGTTGGCATCCCCATCCCTATCCCTATCCCTGCTGGTTAGGGTTTCTCCATGGACTCCCGGCCTCAGAAGGCCAGCCAGGGATGGTGCAGCAGCGACTCCTTGGACCGATCGCCATAGTCGTAGGTCAGCTCCTCCCCCGGCGCAATGTCGTCCTTGGCCAGCAGCACGAGATGCGGACGCTGCTTGATCACGACCACTTTGGTCATTAGATTGCCGGCACGCGAGTGGTTGATGAGGCGTCCCAGCTTCCCAGTGTCCACGGTGGCATCGATGCAGTACTGCTGGTTCTTGTGCTTGAAATAGTACATGTAGCAGCCGGCGTTCTCGTCCAGGGCATAGCGTCGTTCGCGATCGGTGGCATCGCTGATCGAGATCAGATCGCCCACATACTCCACAACGAATTCGTTGCGCTTAAAGTGACGTACAGCGACGACGCCGCGACCCTTGCCCATGAAGTTGCGCACCTGGAGTCCCTCGGAGCGCTCCTCGAGCACAGCCTGCTCCAGATTGCGCAGCCATTCCTCCTTGACGGCTGTTTTGGTCTTGCGTACGCTGCGGCGCACCGGAAAGAAGTCGGTCATCTCCCGGTTGCCATTGGTGGCGGCCAGGGGCAGCGGTCCTGGTTGGATCTTCGACCCCGTCTTGGTCTTGGACCCGCCTTTGGTTAGGGCAGCCCTTGGCTTGGCTGGCGCTGGCTTGAGCATTGCTTTAACGTGATTGTTGCTTTTGTTGCTGTTGGCTATGGGTATTTTGTTCAGGTTCTCCAGCTCCTCGGCGGCCTTCAGTAAGGCGTGGACATCGTCCTCATCCTCCTCCCCCTCGTCCTCCTCCTGATCATCATCATCCTCATCATCATCGATAACGACAACGTCCTCGTTCGTTGGCTGTGTGCCTGGCGGTGGCTGTGGCTGTTGGGGCTGGTAAGGCGCTTGTGGCTTTGGCTGATTCAGTCTTCGTCGCGACTTGCAGGCGGCAACCGCCGCTGTGGTTGTCGGCAGCTTGCGTGGCGACTTTCTGGGCGACAACAGATCGCCCTTCATCATGATGCCGGAAGTCTTGCGTGCTCCAGGTACAATCAATCCCCCCCCATCGCCGCGGGGCAATGTCTTGATCGGCGAGGGGCAGAGTATGCGATGGGGTGTGGCTGGTTTGCGACGACGTGCAGCAGCTCCAGCTCCTCCTCCAGCGGCTGGAGATTCTGCCGATATGGTCAGGCTGCAGGCAACGCCACTGTCGCAGGAACTACTGTCATGTTGGTCCAATTCGAAGCCGTTGTGGTGTGGCTGTAGCTGTAGCTGCGGCTGCGGCTGTGGCTGGGCTACGACAACAGGCTGTGGTTCGCACTGGCCGCCGCCATTGAGTGTGACAATCTGATTGAAACGGCAGGCATTCAGAACGGAAGGCGGCGATGAGAACACGGCGCTGGCCAGCTCAAAGCTCTTGTTGATCTTAATGCTAGAGGCTTTGGTGGGCGTGCGGTCAATGTCCAGTGTCAGGACCGGCTCCTGCAGGAAGATGTTGTCTGTCGTGGCACTGGCACCACCACTGCTGCTGCTGCTGTGCGATGAGCTGTGGCTGTCCCGCAGGCCAGAGCGGTGTGTCTGGAAGTCGGCCATCAGCACGGGCACGGGACTGGTCTCCCGTAGAGCAAAGGTGTCCTGCATCACCTCCTCGTGCTCGTTCTCGTGCTGGTAGGAAGGCGAATCGGAAGAGGCCGTCGAATGGCCATCATACAGCAGATCCCCCACAACCCGCTCCAACTCCTCATCCCCCAGCTCGTCGGACAGGGGCAGCTCTGCTGTAGATATTGTCTTTTGCTCTTTAATTGGCTCTGGATGATGTGTATTCAATGTGATTCCGCACTTGGCGGCAGCATTCGCTTTGAAAAAGTTCTCGATGGTGCGTGTCTGGGAGCGGGTGGCCAGCGGCACGCCTACAGACAAGAAATAGAAACCAAGACCGAAAAAAATCAGTAAAAGCTAACCTCAAAAACGCCACCAAACGATGGTGGCGGGAGGGAGGGGAGGGGCTACGGGAAAATACTCACCAATCGTTCGATCCGTTAACGCCTTTGTTGGCTTGACGCCTTTGTTGTTCGCCTCCTCCTCCAATGCCACAACATCCGAGGAGATTTTGAGATTTTCACTGGCCTTCATCAGGCGGCAGTCTTTCCGCTTGGGGCTGGCAAAATATTGATCATCGAGCAGATGATTGCCGCCCGCTACGGCCACAGCGGCGGCTGTGTCCATGGACAGAGCCCCGTCGGAAGCAACAGCTGCCGCTGCGGAGCCACCACCAGTTTCCTTGGCGGGCCGCGCTCTCCTGCGCACCATTATCATCTATGAGCGTGGCTGGGCTTCAGCAAGGGGCAATGGTGGGGTGGTGGCGGCGGCGCGTGATCGCAGCGCACGAAGATGTGGGCGAAGAGGTGCGTTCGTTGGCGCGTTTTTCCGTAAGACGACGACTGCTGCTGCTGCTGGACACGAGCGATGTGATGGATTGCCAGCACACACACTTGGAGAGAGACGACGACTGCAATTAGCCAAGAAGCATCAGCAGAGACACAAACGGAAACAGAAACAGAGAAAGAGGCAGAAACGCGACATTAAAACATTTGCACTTCATAATCGTATGCAGAGGTACAAATGTATGTACATATATGTATGTTTGCAGTTTTTTCTTTCACACCCCGCGCGCGTACAGTTTTGCCACACAAAATATCGCCTTTTGTTGTTGCTTTTGTTTCTGTGTTCACGAAACGAGGAGGGAAAGAGGAAGAAGACGAGAAGAGTGGAGTGGAGCACAGCGAAAGAATAAAAATGCCTGCTGGAGGTGTTTGCTGATCGCGTACCTATCTGAAAAGGCTGTCGTCATACGCAGCAGCGCATTCTATGTGGTTTATGTTCTCTTATAAGCATTGCAATTGATTGCACTGCAATTAATTATGTTATTAGTTGCACTTTTCCGCAAACTTTTTTTGGTTGTTCTTTTTTTGCTTTTTGCTTTGCGTCTGTAACAGGCCTGCATATGTATAATATAACTTGAATTCGTCAGTATATTTGCGGTATTTTTAAAATATATTTTATCGATAAGAGGTAACAAAATTTTATTTTGAAATCGATATCAAAATTTAAAATTTTTGAAAATTTTGTCCTTACTCATACATACACATATGAGTGGGAGTTGAATGCGATGAAAGCGGTGCTGGTAAGAAAATTTCAAACCAATAAAAGCCAATTTTCATTTCAAAATGGCAAAAGCAACGCTTTGGTGGGCTCCGGAAAGTCCCTGAAGGTGGGCTTCAGCCCTTAATCATCTTAATCATCCCGAAGCGTTGTTAGAATCACCTTCTGCCATTGTAGCAGAATAGTAGCCAGAATAATCGGAGTTTTGGTATCCTTACGCTCGTAAATGAAGATTGATGGACCCCAAATATAGTGGACTAGGCCTATTGGGGACACCACTTTAAAAAAAACGCACCAAAAACTCAACCTCTTGGGTGGTATGGAATGAGTTATAGAATATGTTAAGACCTTAAAATAAAAGTCTAGACGAGTTCAGTTGTAAATTCAAACTAAATTTGCTTATCGATAGACGAGTAACCGATAAACGCGTAAAAAAAAATCCTAAAATTTGTTTGAATTTATAAATTAAAAGTAGTAAATTCAATCTTGTTTAAATAAGCTCTTTTTCTATTTAGAATAATCTTAATATATGTTTTAAAGAAGCCTTGTTTTTGAACATCATTCATTTTTGAGCACGCTTCAGCGTGCTTTCTTCTTCTTCTTCTGGCTGTTCCTCTTATGGCATTTTCGTGTCTGGAGGGGTGCGGTAACATTGTTTGTATGGCAAAGCAAAGTAAAAAAAAATAGACGATTTGCAAGGCGCGCGTGAAAAGAATTTGTGCGTTAAAAAGTAACTAATTTTAAAGTGTAGATGCTGATGAAACCCACAGAAAATATCATAGAAATTGGCTAGATCTTTCGGTGCGTCGGCTTTTCATAAATGTGGATTGGATCGCGGCGCGCAAATCGCTGAAAATACGCTAACAAACGGCAGCCTTGCGAAAACGAGAAAAAAATTGGGCGCCTTTTGTGAAGATTGTGTGTCGTCTGGCTGTGGCACATTTATTTCGCAGTCTCCGCTTCTTCTTTACTGCCCAGCCAGCAGCCCAAAAAGAGATACGCGCGCGGGTGACTTTGTGTATGAGAAAGACAGAGGAAATTTGTTAAAGAACAATTGTTGCAATTAAATAAAACACACAAATATGCCGATTTGCAAGCGAGAAGGCTTCGATCTGAATCAAAAGGAGGGCAAAAGTGATACATTCCACGATAACGACTGGGTCTTCTGCTGCTACATCACCAATCGCATTTTCCGCGACTACGAGTAAGTACCTCCCCATGCCCACACCCATGTCCAGGTCCTTTCAGGGCATCATCATGACACCGTTCCCTGCCTGGCTGCCAGGCTGCCTGGTGCAAAGCGAGGAGTGCGCTAAAGTATACAACAAAGCGACGCTGGGAATGGAACGCATGCAACCGACCGACCGATATACGAACAGCGCAAAGCGAACACACACACACACACACCACACACATCCATAATGTACGAGTATGTATGTGTGGATGTATGGGTGTCTGGTCCTGGGTCCGCGGGGCACAAACAACGCTGTCGGTGGCGGGCGTAAAGCGCGCGAAGCCAATTCTCAGCTGCCGCCTGTCCCAGCTGCTTGACGCAGCGTTGCCACCTTTCCCGAAAAATAGGCGCGCGTTTAAATCTTATTTGAAAATAAACATATATAGTAGTAGTACATACTCATATGATTCCCATACTGATCGTTAAATATAATTGAAACAGAAACTACTTCCGACACGTGATGGCCATCAACTCGACGGTGTGGCAGTGCGAGGCCACCGGCCGCGAGAGCCTTACCTACGAGGAGGCCCAGAAGAGCGAGCGCGCCGCCCGCAAGAAGATGGAACAGTTCAAACAGAGCCTGCGAGCGCCCGTCCTCCTGGTGGTGGAGCATGCCCGCCAGTCGGCGATGAAGACCCTCAACCTGATGGTGGCCAAATTCCTGCGCAAACGCTACTTCATCAACGAGGAGGTGACCGTGGTCACCAAGAAGAACACCGTCTATGTTGTGGTGGCAATAACGCCCGGCAAGAGCAAGCCCGTGCCTAGCACCGAGATATACGAGGACACGGATGCCCTGCAGTACCGGCTGAAGGCGGTCAAGGGCGATGCCAGCACAGAGATCACTGTGCCCTTCGATCAGATACGACGCCAGCGATTGGAGTTCAACATGGAGAACCTCGGGATGTTCATCAAGAACAATGTCACCCGCGTCGACGGTATCCTTCGCCCGAAGCCCGAGGCCTACAAACAGTACGTGACGGATGCGGGCATCAGCTTCGCGAGCATCTTCATTGGCAAAATGCCCCGCTACTCGCCGTCGAAGATAAAGCGACCCGAGGCCAAAGAGACATCCTCCAAGAAGCAGTCCACCCTGAACAAGTACATTGTGTCGGACGTGTCCGAGGAGTCGGCCGCCAAGGCCAAGGAGAAGGCCAAGGCCAGTGCCAAGCTGCTGGCCGAGGAAATGGAGCGTGCGCGCCTGGAGAAGGCGGCCAAGCTGGCCGTCCTGGAGCGCGAGAAGGCCGAGAAGAAGGCCCAGCTGATGGAGCGCGTGGAGTCCGAGTGCAACAGTCTGCTGACAAAGACGGACGACCTGGAGCGCTGCGATCAGCGGGTGCTGCCACGCTACAAGCCGATTGTGACGCTGCTGCCGGAGAAGCTACTGGGCGATGCCTTCATGATGCGCGAGTTCATGCACACATATGCGGGGCTGCTGTCGGGGGTGGAGGTGTTCCGACAGAATCTCAGCTTCTATGAGATGACGCGAGCTCTAAGTGCCCGCGAGGTGGCTGGCCCACTATCGGACATAATCCTGGTGCTGCTGGGCACCGTCTTCGATCTGCAGAAGGAGGAGGAGGATGAGTGCGCGGTCAGCTACATGCTCGGACGCTACACGGCGCCCAGTGAGCCGTACATCAGCATGAGCCAAGCCACACGCAGCCACTACTACTCCAAGCGACACTTCTCCTTCAAGATCAACGAACTGCCGCTGGATGCTCTGACGCTGAGCGAGGTGCTGCGCCTGCATCTGCTCAGCTCCGGGGCCATTGTCAACGAGAAGGCCGAGAAGTGGCGGATCATGTACCGCAATGGCTACGCCTCGCGCGAAGATCCCGGCCTGGAGTTGCGCCTCCAGCATCCGCACATCCTGCGCAGCCTCAAGAACTCGCCGGTCTATCAGCTGAGCTTCAGCGACATCATGCGCGTGATTCGCTGCCTCATGTCCCAGATCCTCACGTACTCCGGGACCATCAATCTGATCGAGGAGCGTATGGAGCAGACGTACAAGGCCAAGGTGGAGCTGCGAACCCTCATCCAGCTGGAGAATCGACGTCTGGCCGCCCTCGAGATGAGCAAACGCAAGCTGACGCACGAGCATCATCTGGCGTGCAGCGCGGAGGAGTTGAAGAACGATCCCGCCAAGAAGCAGTCGCTGCTCGAGAAGCTAAACAAGGGCATAGCCGAGCTGCACGCCAAGTCCGACACTCAGCACCGAAAGCACGAGTCGCAGGTCCTCGCCCTGCACTCGCAGCTGTTCAATTTCCTGGTATTCCTCGGGATGGATCGCTGCTATCGAAAGTACTATGTGCTGGAGTCCATGCCTGGCATATTTGTGGAGCATTCGCCCGACAACCTGGACACCTGTCTGGAGCAGCCGCCCCTGAACAAGCCCCAGTCGGAGATAAGCAACCAGGCACAGCTGCCCAAGAACCGCAGGGAGTTGCGCATCTATCTGCTGAAGCTGTACGGCGAGGAAAAGTCGCGCAGACGGGCCAAGCAGTCGCTGGAGAACAAAGAGAACCAGGAGCACCGCATCAATGGCGACGCAGAGCCCATGGAGGTGGCGGAGGCGGAGCCCCTCGAGGATCCCACCCAGCACGAGCTGATGATGTGCAGCGGGGACCGACGCAACTGCATTGTGCACGATCACGAACAGCGCCAACGCTGGTCGTACATCTACAAGGCCGAGGACATCGACGAGCTCCTCAAGAGTCTCAATCCTCTGGGGCATCGTGAGTCTGGTCTCCTCGAGGAGATCAATGGCCTGCGCACGCTCATCGAGCAGCACGTGAGCACCTGTCCCGCGGAGATGCTCACGCTGGAGAGCGACCAGCAGCGCAAGAAATTCCTCAGCGCCATGCACTCGGAGACGCGGAAGTACTGGGAGGCCAACTTTGGACTGCCTGAGGACACAAATCTCAATGAGGTGATGCAGCTGCATCTGGTGGATCGCATCCTGCAGTTCGAGAGGGACATCTACACGGGGGACTTGGGGCGGTTGAAGGTGAAGGACATGGAGAAGTGGCGCAACGATCTTCTGGAGGGCAACTATGATCCACAGATCAAGCTGCAGTGGGGTCCCGGTGGCAAGCTGGAGGATCTGGCGGCTGCCGGCTCGGACCACGAATCGCACGAGGACTACGAGGACGAGGAGAAGAGCGCCGTGCCCCTGGGCAAGTACGCCACGCAGCCGTATCGAGATCCGGGCCAGTATCTGGGCCCCGCATCGAACGCGGATGAGTCTGTGGAGAGTGCCGACGAGGAGAGGCTAGAGCCGCAGTCGGAGGCGGAGATGGAGTCCTTGCAAGCTAAGGTACGAAACATGGCCGGTGCCCTGCTGCAGGTGGAGCAGGCCATTGGCCGGCGGTTCCTGAAGCCGCCCTACGGCATGAAGAAGTGGGATCCCAAGCAGGATGCCCTGAAGCAGGAGTGCGAGGCCCGACTGCATCAGTGGGAGGTGTCCCTAATGGAGAGCACCAGCTATGCGCAGCTCTTTCTGCACTTCAACATGCTGCACGACTGCATCCAGTGGATACGATCGACGAACAAGTCCCTGTGCAAGGTCTGTCGGCGGGGCAGCGATCCCGACAAGATGCTCCTCTGCGACGAGTGCAATGGCGGCACACACATGTTCTGCATGAAGCCCAAGATGCGGTCCGTGCCCAAGGGCCATTGGTATTGCAACGAATGCGTCAAGAATCTGGGCCTGAAGAACGCCAACGACGAGAAGGAGAAGAAGACGGCGGCCCAGAGGAAGCGCAAGTTCATTGTGGAAGAGGACGATGAAGATGATACCGAGGAGGAGGACGGGGAGGAGACAGAGGAGCAGGAGGAGGAGGACGAGGTAGAAGAGGATGGCACAGACGGTAAAAGCGAAACGTCTACCCATTCCTCCACCAACAAGCTCAATGGGCGCCCCTCTCGTCGTCCCCGAGGGCGTCCCAGCAAAAAGAAGCGACTAACATCCAAAGAAATTGAAGAAGCTATCGTTGACGATGATGACGACGGTGACGAGGCGACGGAGGAGAGCGAACCCTTGGGCAGTGAAGTTGGCGATGAGGGTTCCGTGGAAACCACAGCTGGCGAGGATGAGGACGTGGAAGAGAACGAAAATGAAGAAGGCGAAGAATCGTAAGTCTCCAAACTCCAAACGTCGACAAAAACTGGATACATTTTAATTTGACGGATGTTTTTCCAAACAGCGACGATGACAAAGTGTGCCAGGTGTGCTTCTACGACGGCAGCGAGATACGCTGTGTCCGCTGCAGCCTCTACTATCATCTGGATTGTGCCCAATTAAAGCGACAGCCGCGAGCGGATTTCGTCTGCAAGAAGTGCAAGACATCGGAGACGCAACGACCGAGACGCCGAAATAGTCATGGTATGTATAGACCAGAGCCACTTGCTCACTCTTGTTGACGGTTTTTAGTGATCCGGGGCGACCCGAATCTGTATGTATAAATAAACAAGCTAAGAAAGATACCCTCCGATCTTTTTCTATAGTAAATGGCCACGATGACGATGATGATGATCGGGATGAACCTCCAACCAAACGCTCGCGCTCCTCTCGCAACTCTCTGCGCATCTCGCTGGACAAATCCGCCCGCCACAGCGGCTCAAACAACAACAACAACAACAATAGCAGCACCAACAACAATAACAATCATCGCCGAAGCGGTCGTCGAATGAATGACAATCTGCCGTTGAACAGCGCCGCCTTGTACGATCTGCTGGAGCAGATCATGAAGCACAAGGCCTCTTGGCCCTTCCTGCGGCCAGTGTTGACATCGGAGGTGCCCGACTACCATCAGATTATCAAAACGCCGATGGACTTGGCCAAGGTCAAGTCCAAGCTGAACATGGGCGCCTATCAGCTGAACGAGGAGGTACTCAATGACATACAGTTGGTGTTTCGTAACTGCGATCTCTACAATGTAGAAGGCAATGAGATATACGAGTAAGTGTGTTTCTTGGGACGAACCTTGAACCTGTTTTGAAGCCACCCCTCCCCCTCCTTCCTTACAGTGCTGGCTGTCAGCTGGAGAAGTTCGTGATTGAACGATGCAGGGACATGCAGCTGCCCTTTAGGCCCAGTGACATGAATGACGAAGGAGTGGCCATTTGCTGAGCATCTCCGATCTCCCCTAGCGATCGTGTACATTATTCTTTTTAGCTAACACTTCAGGCATACACACAACTAAATAGACCATAGCACATTCAGTAGTTTATACGACATCTCTGCGACATTCTAGGCTTAAGCACGGACAAAACTTACTGCAGTCCTTAGTGTAGATAATAACACATATGTCCTATGTTTAATATACGCATTTACGTTGATCTAAGACTATGGTATAGCCCCCACTTTCACACAAGATGCACACATGCTAAGAGAATTTTGGTTTGTTGTTTTTTTTTTCGTTTTTGTTTTCTGAGACAATTTGTATTCTAGTTTATTCGTAAATTATTATATACTAAAAAAATTACACGGTTCCACAATCAATAAATGAAGAGTAACAAAAAACTAAAGCCGTACATATCTTAAAGGTCTTTCCTAATGTATCGTGTTAGAATTATGGTTATTCCTACCAGTACTGGGATATATCTTTCATTAGGGGATTTTTCATTCCGAACTGAACCAGAAACTTCATTTCATTGTTTTCTTGTTGAATTATGCATTTTGCTGGGTTCAATTTCCAATTTAAGTTCCGTAAATAGTTTAGTCTTAAATCACATTTAACAAGTTTAAATTTGTATATTTTCTTCTCGATTATACTTATGCTACATATATATTATATATACCTAACAAAAAAAAATCCAGTTACAAAATGTTTCAGAATTTGCATTTCATTTAGAAAAAAAACTCTCGAGTTCTTTTCCAGTTTCTTAAAAAAGGAATACAAGTTGTGGTTTTTATGTTTTAATAATGATAATAGATAATACTTTCTCAGAAAGCTATTCAGATTTCTTTTGCAAAACGAAAAATATTCAATTTGTGTGAGTTTTGGAGATCACCCCAGATCATGGTTATACAATAGATATCGAAGGAACCTCCATGGCCCCATGGCCCCATTGCCCCATGGCCCTTCGCCTGGACCCTTCTTCTGAAGACAAAAGATAATTTAAATTTACATGTAGTGTAACTTAAGTTTAGTTATACGATCGATCTCAGTTCGATGTGGACGAGGATGTGGATGCGGAGGCGGAGGCGGATGATGACTCCGTGTTGCACATATCCACAGTCGATCCATTGGCAGCGGCAGGTGGCTTGTGGTTGTTGTTCGAAGCCATTTGGTTGTTGTTATTGGCCTCGGTTTCCACGAGGAACGGATACGAGCTGGATGTGCTGGGAGCCTGCGAAAGTTGGGCCTCCATGGAGGTCATGGACGTGGACAATGAGTCATCAGTGTCATCATCAACAGCCACAGCCACAGCCATAGCCGTAGCTTCGTTAATGCCATCGGTGCCATTATTATTATTGTTATCCTCAGATTCGGCATCCTCCTCCTCCTCTTCAGACGAATTGTTGGGGTCCTCCTCGAATCCTTCGATGCTGTCATTTTCCAGATCGCTGGATCGTGGCCGTGCGGCGGGGCGGTGCCGCTTTCTGGCGGCAAAGCGCTCACGAATCAACTTCCTTTTGCGCTCCATCTGCTCCATTTGCAGCGTATCTGCTGAAGGAGAGAGCAAATAAAACATAAATGGAAAATGGACAAGTCATTGGCAACGGGAGCCCAAGTGTCAACACAACCCCCAGACACTTGCCAATAATTGTGGGTAGCAGCAGTCCGCCCCGAGCTGTCACACCAAATCCTGACACTAAGCAAACAAGTGGCCGCCGCGACCTGGCCTGTGTATTGTAACTATTGTTAGCCGCGCAATCCCAGCGACTCTCAGTTACACGGACAATGTCGACGACTCTGCAGCTAATTATGTTGACCCTAGTGGGAGTAACAATTGGTCAAGCCAATAATATAAGCTACAGGCAAGTGCTGGTGCCCGTTCTCAGCCAGTTGAAGGGCGGCGTGGAGCTGCACTTGCGAAGTTCGAAGGATGGAGATCACGATTTTGTGCGGTTTCTTCTGAGGCAGGGCAAATACTCGATGAGTATCAGCCGGACATTGGAGCTGGACAGCGCATTACCCCATCACGTGCTCCTCTTTGCCGGTTTGGAGCAACTGCAGGAGGCTTTTCCCCAACTAACCCCCAGAGGCGGCTTCTACATACTGGCCCTGGAGAGCAGTGCACCAGCGGAGGATCCACAGTTGTTGCAGTTTATGGCGGAGGTCTGGCGGCATCACAACCACAGTCAGGTCTACTACATCCAGCTGGACAGAGGTCGTCTGCTTCTTCATAATCCTTTTAACCAGAGCATCGTATTGGTGGATGGGACACAGGCTTACACGCAAATCTATCAGAATCTCAACGGCTATCCCCTGAGAATCTACATCTTTGATTCGGTCTACTCTGCTGTAATTGGCGATGGCGCAAACAAAAAGATCCTGAGCATCACGGGTGCCGACGCCAAGCTGGCCAAAACGGTGGCCAAGCAGCTGAACTTTACCCCGGACTACATCTGGCCAGACGATGAGTTCTTTGGGTGAGTCCCTCACCTCCCTCAGTTTGCTTCAACTAAAACCCTATTTAAATGTTCTCCTTCTTGCAGTGGCCGCCGGTCGGATGGCTCCTACAGCGGTGGCGTGGGTCGTGCCCATCGCCGCGAGGTGGACATCATCTTTACGGGCTTCTTCATCAAGGACTACCTCTCCACGGACATTCAGTTCAGTGCCGCCGTCTACATGGACGATCTGTGTCTGTATGTGCAGAAGGCCCAGCGCATTCCACAGTCGATTATGCCCCTGTTCGCCGTCCATGTTGATGTCTGGCTGTGCTTCCTGATGGTGGGTTTCTTTGGAACCCTTTGCTGGCTTTGCCTCAGGGCTCTGAATAGGGGCCTGGGAATCCCAAGGATTTTTGATGCCCAAAAGTCCAGAGGAAGAAAGGTCAGCAGTTGGAGCTGCGCCCTAAGGATCTTCATCGACACATGGGTGGTCTGGGTGCGGGTGAATATTGGTCGCTTTCCGCCCTTCCATTCGGAGCGCATATTTGTGGCGTCGCTGTGCCTGGTGAGCGTCATCTTTGGAGCCCTGCTGGAGTCCAGCCTGGCCACGGTCTACATCCGACCGCTCTACTACCGGGATCTCAATACCTTGGCGGAATTGGACGAGTCCGGAAAGCCCATCTATATCAAGCACCCGGCCTTCAAGGATGACCTCTTCTACGGCCACGATTCGGCGGTGTATCGACGGCTGAACGCCAAGATGATGCTGGTGGCCGAGGGCGAGGAGCGTCTCATCGAGATGGTTTCGAGGCAGGGCAAATTCGCCGGAGTCACGCGCTCCGCCAGCCTGCAGCTGAACGACATCCGGTATGTGATGACCAAGAAGGTGCACAAGATACCCGAATGCCCCAAGACCTACCACATAGCCTACATCCTGCCTCGGCCATCGCCATACCTAGAGGAGCTCAATCACGTGGTGCTGCACCTTGTGGCCGGTGGCCTCATTCAGCTCTGGACGGGGGAGATGAAAGAGCGGGCCAAGTGGAGCATCCAGAGATTCCCCGACTATCTGGCCCAGCTGGACGTGGGACGGTGGAAGGTGCTCACCCTCTCGGACGTGCAGCTGGCCTTCTATTCCCTCACCATTGGCTGCCTTCTGGCCGGCTCCGTCTGTCTCGTCGAACTGTTTTTCGGTCGCAGAAAGAGAAAATAAAGAGGAATCTCACTCACCTATTTTGAGTACAGGCGGCTTGCGGGGACTACGGGAGAGCTGATCGAAGACGCGACGACGCTGCTCGCGGGCTGCAGCCTCGGCGGAAGTGGTGGGCATCTCATCGTCCCCAAACAGGCGATGTGTCTCGACCAGCCAGTCGCTGATGCGGGCCGCGGTGGCCGCCTGCTTCTGCTCCCCATTGAGTCGTGCCAGCAGCTCTTCCACACTGCGCTGCTGGCCCCCAGTGCCCTTTACAGCCATTTGCAAAAGAGCGCGACGCTTCTTGGCGATCAGATAGAAGATGCGATTAGGATGCGTCTGCCAGGAGAGCTCGCTGACGTTGGGGGTATCGTCCTCATCATCGGTGGGCTCCTCCTCCGATGCCGAGCTGGCCCCAGCCTCGCTGCGCTCTGAGGATGTGCTAGAGGAGGTGCTGTCACTGCTCGTATGATTGCCATTGGTGTTCCAGGATTCCAGCTCCCGTTGCACCAAAGTATCGAAGAAGGCCAGCATCGCCTGGTCCTCGTCAGTGTCGCAAGAGCTAAAGTCCTGTATAACATGCTCCGTGGTGTTGTTGTGCAGGGTGCGGTTGCAGTAGGGCTTGGCTGGCGGATACATCAGCGATCCCTCCCAGCCATGCTGTTCAAAAGGGCTCCATAGCTGCAGGAGGACGGAGTGCGGATTACAATGGGGAAAAATGTATCTATCAAACGAACCTTAATAATCTTCTCCACACCAGAAGAGGCCAGCAGGCAGCGCTGTCGATTGAAGCGCACCTGATTGACCACAGAACGATGGCCGGTCAGGATAATGGGGGGCGTGTCAATCCATTGATTCTTTTCCTCCACTACAGGGTAGAGTATGAGCGATTGTTCTTTATAGATTCATCCCATCCCCCCCTTGTTGAAACTTACAATCCACACCATCCATCCGCCAAATGAACATGTTAAAGTTATCCGAGCCGGACACAACCATCTCATCCTGCGGGCCTGCAAAGGTGCAGCTCTTCATGGTGCACGAGTTAAAGTACTCGTCATGGTAGAAGGTCCCCAAAGGCTCCGGCGAGTTGGGACTGAACAATATAGGTGGCAGTCGACGGTGCAGGGTGAGCAGGAGGCTGCCACTGCAATTGAAACGCACACTCATGCAGCTGGGCGATTCCGGGATATAGTTGAACTGGCAGAGGGGACTGCAAAGATGTTCGATAAAGTGAGATCCCATATCTTGGAAGCTGTCGATCGGACTCACTGATTATGATGCCTCAGATCCCAGAGCATGGCGCCGCGCTTGGCATTGGCCGTGGCCAGGAAGTTGCCATTCAGCGGATGAAACTCGACGGCATTAAACGGGGAACGGAATTTGGCCACAGTCAGGGGCTCGTAGTTACCCACACGCAGGTCATAGAACAGGACCTCGCCGCTCTCAGTGGCCACGCTGAATAGATGGACGCTGGTCCGGTCCACGCTCAGCCCATAGACGGGTCCTCCATGTGAAAAGTAATTCAAGAGCTTGCCGCTGTAAAGGTAAGAGGAGCGATGAGATAATCAATGTTTCAGCTGCGATGACTGACCCTCAACTTACGTGGCAAGATCATGTTGAATGACCAGGTCATCGTTGCCACCGGAAAACACATGTGCATTGAGGGTGTCGAAGCCCAGGCAGAAGATGTTGCTGGTGTGCGTCTCGTTCATGACCTGCGGCCGTCCCATTTCGGACATCACCTCCTGGTCGATGTTCCACAGCAGCACCCGCTTGTCGTCCCCACCTAATAAAGATATGATGCAGATGTAGAGGGTTGGGTTCCTTCACAGCAACAGGTGTTGATCCGCACTGACCTGAGGCGAGGAACTGTCCACCGTTGCTAAATTCCAAGGCATTGACACACCCATAGTGGCCGGTCAGGTTGCGCTGGTAGAGATTCTCTGCTGCACTGAGGCGCTGCCGGAAAATGCCCGCCGACAGTTGGCCAGACAGCAGATCGCTCTCGCGTAGTCCCAGGCCCAGATTCAGATTGAGGCACTCCACAGAGCGACTGCCTCGGGTGTAGTTCATCCTAGAAATTGTTTCAGTAACCAACTACACTTTTCACTTCACAACAAGAGACTCAGAGACGGAGCAGAGAGACAGAGAGAGTGAGAGAGAGAGAGAGAGAGAGCGACACTCGGGACAGGCACGGGCACGGGCACGGGCACAGAGAGACGGACACCCACACCTAATGCGTCTCCAGGCTGTGGCAGCAGCAGATGTTCTCGTTCTGGTTCAGCTTCGACATATTCGCTATTTCTCTATATTCGACACTTTTTTTCATGCCAGAACCAGCAACTTTCTGAGGGGAAATTCGAGGCTGCTGGCTGGCCAGTGGTGGGGGGTAGGTCGGGACTTTGAATCCCAGGAAAAGTTTGTTATTTGTTCGCACTAACATTCGTCGGCGATTGGATTTCAATTCCTCAATAATTGCTCCAGTTGGAAGCAATAATATTTTCTGGCTGGATAGATATTTTCAGCAACAACACGACAACAACGCAAAGACTCCCGACTCGCCGCGACTGGTTTTAATCATCGGAATATATTGCCATTGCCCTAATCAAAATGAAAACATAAAGTATACAAGCCGAGGCGAAGAAACCAGCTGTTCGCTCAGCCAGCGACAGTGGGTCGAGGGTGGTTGCAAAGTGCTCATAATTTTCGATGCGTTCACTTTTGAATGGGTCGAGTTTCCATACAACTGTTGCACTCACTCGCTCTCCCTCGGCCTGTTATTGATGGAACTACAGTGGGAAGACCACTAAAAGGGTACTAAAGGTTCTGTTCTCACTCTTTATAAAAATGTATGCAACTAGTCTTCGGAGGAGGTCTACAGAAAGGTATGAAAAAGATCACTCTTCAGATTGAATCCTGAGACAAGCGTACCTGTGCATATATAGATGTTCCAAGCTTTGGATTTGCTTATTTCATGAGCTCCTCTGTGTTTTAAATATCTGTCATCAAGAATAGTACAGTAGTAATACTAGTTGACCAAAACATTTGCCGCAGTATTGCGAGCTATACTTTTTGCTCTGAACGATGTCATTGGGCAGCATTAACTGAATATGCGAATGGACCCCATACAATGGTTCTGGTGGTGGCTCAGTTTTAGGAAGTAGGACTTTCCCAGATGCGCATGAAAATGGGCATAGCCCGAATCAGTACTTTCGGATGAGCGGATTCCCTACTAGATCAAATAATTTGTATGGGATATTTCGATATTTCTTGTATAAAATACAAAAGCTATAAGCTATTCGCATCGGTAGTTTGTTAAATGGTACAGTAGAAAACAAAAAAAAAAAAAAAAAAAAAAAACTACTAACTAAAAATTGTTCTGCTAAAAAAGATGATGTCATAAAGTAACCTTTGTGAAAAGCGTACACTACACTTCCAAAACGAGCTCTGACATCTTCAGTTATAACCAAATTTCAGTAGGATATACATCTATAAAATTTCTCATCTCATCTATAAAATTTTTTAAAATAAATCATTTTTAAGGATACAATGGCAAGTCAACAACCAAAAATCAAACACCAGTCAGAGGTGACTAGTAGCTTGAAGGCCGAGGAAAATGTAATTCCTGGTAAGGAATTTACTCGCTGCAAAATTAACAGAGACTTACCAGACATCCTTCGCTACCCTACTCTACACTTCAGATTTACTAGGGAATTCACTCGATAAAGAGTATATGACGAGTGGCGAGTACATGCGCAGTCTCCGTGATCGGCTCAGTCAGTGCGTCCAGAGAAACAACCGGGACATCCAGGAGTCGGTGAAGCTACTCAAGGAATTGTCCGATGTGAGCGATGGCATGCATCTGGCGATAACCACCAGCACCAACACCCCCAAAATAAAGAACCTAATCAGGAGCTTCGAGACGATCGGTACTGCCAACACAACGAATTTGGGGTTGGACAAGCAGACCATTGATACGACCGAGATCCGTAGCCTATTTCTCGAGTTTAAAACGCTCAACGACGATGACTTGCTTCGCGATTGTCTGATGACTTTCAAGAGTGCCAAGGAGAAGTTTGAGAAGGTGCAAAGTTTCTTTGAAAATATGGTCGGTAGCGGTGCTACCGCCCCGTCCGCCCCATTCACCGCATCCCCCGAATCTGCTGTGCCCGCCGCATCCGCCGCCCCCACTCAGTACGCGCCTCCCGCTCCGCAGACAAAAAAGCTATCGCCCAGCAACAGCGTGAGTCCCACTAGCAGCGTCAGTCCCAGCCTTCGCGACAAGATCGAGGCATTCAACAAGGCGCTGGGGGATGGCAAGGATACGTCCAAGTACTTTGAGGACTGCTTCAGCACCCGCGATCCAGCGACAGAGGCTTCCGTCGAGGAGATGAAGCCGTCGACACGGCGGTCGCGCACCCAGTCTGGTTATGAGGGCGATATCGACAGCGAAGCCGATCAAGCCGATAGTACTAGAGGCTAAGTTTAATGATATGATAAATCTGATGTCTAAATTTAAAAATTTCGACGAGAGAAGATATTTCTAATAGAGTTTAGTAGAACCACAAGTGCTGCGAATTCTTCCTGATTTCATTCAGAAAATCCTACAAATGGTACAACTATGCTGCATCTACATATCGATTTGCCCAAGCAACGGATATTGCTTTTATTTCTTACTGGGTATTGTTGTGTTTGTTATTGGATTCTGCGAACCGAAAAGTACGTCATTTTGGCACCTCGCTAAAGACTGCATTTTGTTGCTGTCTTTAGGGGACCGACTCAGTAGGCACCGGGTCGAGAAGTGAAACCCTGCGTTCGCCCTCTGCCTACGGTGCATTACGAAAAGCCCTGCCATAAAACAGCCTTCTGGTGCCTCATTCAACATGTTGGTAATCATATAGTCTTTGGCTCAAAGTTCAGGAACTTAATATACTATTGTCTTCATTGTGACGATATAAGTAGAAATACAAATCTGAAAAATATCACACTAAACTACAGTAAAAATCACGATTCATCCCTGGATGTCCATTCCATTCCATGCTTTGCATCAGCAAGTCATCTCCGCCGCCTGGAACATATCCGTGTAGTTGATGGCGAAGAAGATCGACACAGCACCAATGGTGGAGCCCAGCTGGGTGATGGATCCCACCCAGACCAGCGACTGGCCACCCTGGGAGCGCATCACAGTGGTGATACCCAGCTTGGTGTAGCTGACGATGCCCACCAGAAGGGTCCAGGCAGCGACGACTAGGATACCTCCGAAGCTATGGTCATAGAACGGCGGATATGGACTCAGAGCGGCCGTGGTAAAGACGTAGCTGGTGAGCAATGCGGCGATGATAGAGAGCACGGTTATGAGGCGCAGTGAGGTAAAATGCAGGAACATCGCCATGAAGCAAGCCACCGGATTGGCGATCACGCTCAGCGTGGCGGCCAGATGATAGGAACGCGATCCATAGGGGGCACTCGAGTAGGACTGGATGCTGCCAAACATCCCGTTGCTAAACAGGGAGATAGCTCCTATCAGTAGCAACAGATAGGTGTATTGGCCGCGGGTCAGCTTTTCCGCTGGCGGCTGATTGTCCGCCTCACCGTACACGTATTTGTTGCCATCGCTGACGGTGACTTTGGCGTACTCCATCCTGGCCAGGGGCAGTGCATTGAGCAGCGTGTAGCCAATGTAGCTGAGCACCATCAGGCCGAACAGGATGAGGAAGAAGACCTTGGTGTCGAAGTTCGGTGGCACCTTCTGCTGCTCGAAGATCTCCTGGCCGGTCTCCGTGACGTTCACCAACACGCACTGCGATGTCTCGCCAATGCCCTGGATAAGGGCCGTTACACTCGGGAGCAGGCCACTCAGTCCCTCGCCAATAAAGTACGTGACCATGTACTGCTCCTTGAAGCGCCCCATGTACGGCATGAACAGCACCGAGCTGGTGCAAGCATTCAGGGCCGTGAAAATGGTCAGCACCAAAAGGGCCACACTGTGATCCACTCCGTTCACCTCAGCCGTACGGTTGTAGAAGAAGGCCGTGAGCAGGCAGGAGATGGCGCCCACCAGCAGAACGCCGTGTATGGTCCAGCCATCGTTGAGCTTGCGCGGTGAGTACTTCTGTATGGCCGTGTAGAGCAGTGGACCTAGATTGCCAATCTGGACCATTACGCTCAGGTAAGAGGGCAGACTCCAACCCTCGGGGGCCTCGTCGACCAGCAGTGGAAGTTGTATGAAGGTTCCATTAACGCCCAGCCAGGTGCCGATGCCAAAAAATATGGCTAGTAGATCGACAATCAGGCTGCGATTCCTAAGTACAGAGCAGTACTTCTGCTCCATCTTCTTGTGAATGGTCCGCCAGGTGAGGAATACGCTTAGCTCGCTCTCGCTGGGCTCGGCCACGGCGCATCTGGAACAAAAGAGATTAGATTACTTCGGTTCTTGCTTGCAACATTGTAGAGATGATAATAGAGGTTTTATAAAGTCTCATTAAGAAATCCCATAGATATTATCGGTAGGAATAAATGATCTTAGTTTTAATCCACGATGTCTGTCTTTTTATTAACTGTCTGTCTTTTCTTGCTACAATAAAACACAGTCTCATATTTGTACTGCGGTCGAATCACAGACACAGTGTGTCGATAAGTCTAGCCCAAATAAATAACAATAAATGGCATATTTGATTGCAATGGAATTTAACGCATATATGTATGTACCTATGTATGTATGAATACGAGCATGTGCAAAGCCTTTGCCTCTTCTCACAATGTCTAAGAAGTCGCGGGGTAGTATATCTTAAAACTGAACCCACATTCCATTTCATTCCAATTGTTCAGATAAGCATTACAAAATCATTATCAAATACAGCAGGGCATCAGCAGTACATTATTTCCGTGTCTTTGCAGAAGAGATAACCGAACGCTAAAGCGATTATGGTTTCCGCGGTTGATGTTCCACTTGGCTTCCACAAAGTGTACCCGGAGTCACCCCAAAGATAATTATTAAATTCCCCTCCTCTTCAAAGGTAATCCCCACTCTCGATTGGATATATCTTTGGGTCTAATCTCGCATTGGAGTAGATACTCAATGATGTGCAATTGGTCACATACGTTCCACCTCTAATCTGGTAATTCAATTAGGCTGGGACTATCTGCACGTACTTTCGAGTATCTGACTGTGGATGATAAGAATCTAAATTGGAATCGGAACCCATTCTTGGACCCATGACGACGTCACGGCGCTCGTTGCTTCCCAAATTAGCATAACTCCGATGCAAAGAGAGTGCGGGAGAAAGCCCTCTGAGCTTTAAGCTTATTTAAAACTGGTTTTTGGAGTGTACACAAAATTACAGGTAATCTTCCGCTTACCTGGCGAAATCGGAAGGAACCGCACTGGGATCGTCCAACGACGAGATCACTCCGTAGACTGGCCCGGACTGGCTGGCAATGCCGAGCCCAGACCTGCTCTGGTAGCTGCTCATACTCTCGGGCTTGTTTTTAGTACTCTTCGAATGAATGGGTTTATGATCTGCCTGTGACGATGGGCAGATTAGATTTCAGCTTGTGGTGTGCCACTGTTGTACTATGGGATGCAATGGGGTTTGGCAGCTCGAAAACGGCACTGCCTGCAAACAATCGAATCAATCGAGGCACTTTTCGAGAAGCGTGGCTTAATTGGACCCGCCGGCACAACTGACGATCGGCAGCGTCTGAAAAAGCTTTCCCCAATTAGAAACTGCGGGCGCTTCTCTTGATTAATGACTGTGATTCGATCTGACGCGAATATACATATGTACATATACTTGTAGACAAAGTCGAAGTTCCAATTTGTGCCCTTGGCAGACCAAGTCTTTTCCAATTTCAGGGCTCCGTTACGCAATGTGCGTGTGGTGGCAGAGGGAGACTGATGAGGATAATGCAAAATGCAGAGGGTTCTGAATGCTGGCTGCTTGGGTGAAGCGCGTCCAGCGTTGGCGGATTGTTTTGTCCATTTGAAAACTGAGTTTCCAGACTCGGTCAAAGCCAACTCGATGGAAGCGTCACAAAATAACACAGTGGAGAATAAAATAGCTGTGCGAACAGCTGTTTTGTCGCCGTCGAAAAAAACGGAGGAAGAGCGAGCGGCAGAAAAAGCAGCGCACGTGTGGCGAAGAGAGCAAGCGCACAAAACGAAAGAGAGCGGGGACACACACATACGTTGAATGTATTCCCTTTCCGATAGTATTTACATTTTTTGATCGTGTTTGCAATTAAGTGAACAGTGAAGAGGATTTTCCAAGTCGATGTAGCCATGTGCATGGGTTCGATTTATGCAAATTATTCCCTCAGTTTTGAATTGATACAGGAAGTGTATAATTTGAAAAGGCCACTAATGGATATATTTTTACATATCTCAATGGCTGCCGTTGAGTAAAACGTTCTTTTTTTTAATAACAGCGGTAGGCAGGCTTTTTATGAAGTTTGGAGAAGTCAAATATATATGTAAGAATACCTACTATATTATTATGTTGCAATAGCGCACGCAATGCCCGTTGATTTTGCAATCGGTATAATCTCTTGCAGCATTCGCCTGTGCGTGTCGAGTACCCTTCTCCATATACCATAATCACGTTCAATATCCAAGGGTATCTGAAGTTTCGATCTTTGAAGTTATCGTTCCTCCCGTTTTGTTTTTGTGCAGTGTCTTTTTTATTTTGCTTTATTGCAAATGAAACGTAATGAAAGCCAAATGAAGTTCCAATACCCAGAAACTAAACCCTATGAAATGTAAAAATAGTATTGTTATGCATTTGGAATGCCTGGCACGACTCGGCGCCGCAGGCCATTCCCCGGAAATCAATGTAATGCCAGGTGGGAAAAACCTATTGGGAGCTGCAGAGCTGCTGATACCAGCGCTTGCTCTCGCGGCAGCGGGGATTCGTGCACATGGGGCAGCGCATCAGAAACTTGGGATTGACGGCCTGCTGGGACTTCAGGTGATCCGCCACAATGTTGCTGAGGGCATCGATGAACAGCGGATGGTCGTTGGGGGCGGCGGCACGGCGTATCTCCTCCACGCCCACCTCCTTGGCCAACTCGTCGCAGTACTCGATGTCCAGCTCGTGCAGGGTTTCGATATGCTCGTTGACAAAGGCAATGGGCACGAGTATAAAGTTCTTCAAGCCTTGCTTGACATACCCCTGCAAAAGAGAAAGCAATAATATTCGTAGTGGTTGATTGGTACGACAGAACCCACCTTGATTGCATCATCTGTGGCCGGGGCAAGCCAGGGCAGTGGTCCCACTTTGGACTGCCAGGCGAGGCTGTAGGGATTGGTCTGGCCCAGCTCCTGCATGACCATGTGCACGCTAGCCCCGATCTCAGAGGGATAGGGATCGCCCCTGCTGACCGCCTTCAGAGGCAGGGAATGGGCAGTGAAAAGTATGACCACATCGTTCCTCTTGGTCGGCACGAATTTGGCCAGTTCATCGCGAATGCGCTGGGCAAAGGTCTTTATGAGCAGCGGGTGTGTGCCCCAGCGGTCGATGATGCTCCACTTGATGTTGGCGGGCAAATCACTGGCAAAGAAGGGGTGTTTATCTTGGTTATATCGCCCTGCTCCGAAAGGGTTTCGCTACTCACTTGCTGCGGTAGTGGGTGAAAATGGAATTGAAGCTGGAGCCGGATGTGGCGCAGCTGTATTGTGGATACTGCGAGAAGAGCACCACCCTCTCTGGCTTGTCGCTGGAACATGACAAAATGTAATCCCAAGAAAACGCATACTTTCTCTTATGTAAACCACCTCTCGATCTGTGCCAGGGTGTTCTCTGTCAGGGGATTGACGTAGCGGAAGCCCACGTAGTGCTTGTGGGGGGCGGTCGTCGGTGACAGCTTGTCGAGCTGCTCACACATCAGCTGGCCTTGCAGCTCCGTCCACTTGAGTATGGGCGATCCACCGCCAATCTCTTTGTACTTTTTTTGCACCTCCGGCGTTCGCCGCTGGGCAATCCAGGGACCTAGCCTGCTCTGCACCGGCAGCTGGATCATGTCCCGGTCAGTCATGATTCTCAGTAGGTAGTCGTGCACCTGGTCGGTGCTCTGTGGTCCGCCCATATTGAGCATGAGGACCGCGGTCTTAGCCGGCTGCCCGCTGAACTGTCTTGCCCTCGCTGCCAAGTTAACGCCATTGGCTGCAAAAGGAATAGATCAGAGACTGTCTGATCCTTAATTGCATCTACTCACTGGTCAGCCTGCACAAGTTTCTGTTATGCAAAAACATCCTTTTTTTACTTCTAAAATATTGCACTTGAATGACAGCCGGAAAAGAGAGAAAAAACTCTTGTTCTCTTGGTTATTTTTGTGTTTACATTTGCTCAAATTACTACATGGCTACAACACGGCTACTGCACATTTGCTACATAATGGAAGAAAAAAGCGGGTGTGGACAACAAGCAACACGGCACAGAAAATGCAACTCATGCAAGGCTGAATCCACCCCATTTGCCCAATACACCTTGAAGGCAAAAAGTCAGCAATATATCGTCTCTTTCTGAAAAAATACCTAACAAATATCGATGAAAATCGGAACTTAACCCACTTGACCCGCCTCTATTTAAACAGGTGAACAGTAATCAGATCAGCAAAATTTTCCATCGATTCAAGTGCCGTATATTTGGCTCGGGGCAGTGTTTGACCAGGTGAGCATGCCCTACGATTACACTTTTAAGTGTATTTTTTTTACAAATAAAATCAATACAAATTTTACTTTTCAAAGCAAGCAGAAATGTACTTTTCGTGAGCGCTGTGGCTCTAGATGACTACAATGTACGGATAAAGCACAGAAATATTGGATAAATCTGGTCTTGCGGAACCGAAATGCAAACATGTTTCTTATAATCTGTATAATCTGAAATCTGAAATTTTGATTTGTGTGCTTTGGAGACCATAGTAGTTGATAGAGACGAACATTTTTTTACCTGTGCAAAAACTTGAGATATAGCCTGGGAATTTAAGTACCATAATACTCTTATTTGGAAACATGTTAATGCTTTTCACAGAATCTTATTGTTATTTTCATATGGTTGATACTCCAGTTGAAGTTTTTCACACCTAGCAACATAATTGCATTTTCAATACATACGAAAACCAGTTTGGTATTTAAATTTCACTTTTCATTAGACTTGGTTTGTGGCCAGGTTAAAATATGTCCGAAACTGTATAAAACGATTGCGCGATAATAGTTTCTCGGAATGTTTTTTTTAACAGGTGAAATTTTTTGGGCAGCCCACAAAAAAATATGCTGCATTAAAATTTGTACTCTTTACATCACAAACAAATTATTACGATATCTTTCACCACTTTGGCGATACAATTTTTCAATTTTTATAGTTTTCATGGGTTTTGAAATCAATGGGTCAATGGGTCCTCAATGGGTTAATTCGATTAAAATTGTCGGATATTTATTTTGCTCATCAAAAAGCCTGTTGATATTTTCATCGTTTCCATACGAATATCATATTCGATCGACTTACGAATATTTCGTTTTCGTTTGGGTTCTTATAATTCGATTGGATTATATTCCATAAATATTATATTATATTATATGACTTAGTTATTGATAAAAAAATTTATGTTTAAAAAAGTATCTTAACCTAGAAAAAAAAATGTAACTTAAGTGATGAAAAAAAAGGTTTTTTTTTTTTTTTTTAGGGTCAACAGCCGCACTTGGGGCAAAGCATTACAATATTTTACCATTTGTTGATACATGATAAAAAAAAAATAAAAAAAAATGTATCCCACATCTCCTCGAACAGTGAGTGCGCTAGCGGCAGAATTCCATTAGCAAGGAGGAGCCACTACTGACCAGCTCGTCAATATAATCGCGTGCTTGAAACCACTTTGACGTACACTCCTTTTGATGGCAGGTGGAGCTGCCTAAGGCACCACTAGAGAAGGTCACATCACATACGCATAGTCCGGAATCTGGCTGTGGTAATCGTTATCCGTAATCCGGATACGCAGAAGGCCAACTGTGGCGGGATCAATCGGTACGTTGTCTTGGAAGATGTTGAAACCTGAAAGACAACGAATCTGAGGGTTAAAAGATGATCGAATTGAACGTAAACGATCATAATCTTACATTGATAGTCCCCATGCTCGTTCTTAACGAGAACCAAAGGATGTAGGGATTGTTCCATATTGCTAACGGGCACTAAAACTAAACCGCCTTGGGGACCATCGAACGCTGGTGCAGAAACGCCAGTATTTTTTACATTTACATTCTTTGTTGGTGTTGCGTTTGTTGGTGCTGGCTTCTTCTCGCTCTGGAGATTGGGGAGTGATGGGGGCGCCAAGTTTTCCAATTCGTCTTCATCATCGGAATCAAGTAAATCCGTCTTATGCGGATTGTGACAACCAAAGCAGCGACAGTTTCTGCATGAGTTGCCAGACACGTAGCAGCGACAGCGATTATTGCGACAGGTAGTTTTGGGGTTAGCCAGCACTCCAGAGGTTCCGCAGCGGCATTTGTGCTTAAATGGATCTTCCTTTGTCATTCCCGCATTCCTACGAGGAGATCCCGTAGTAGCACTGATTTTGATGGTTTTTTGAGGTGTCTCCTGCACGCAGGAGATGATGCTGGGCTTTGAATTGACAGGATTCATTTGCGTGTCTTTCTTCTTGTCCTTGATGGTGGATGATATATACTTCTGGCTGGAATTCAGGTGTTGTACCTCTGAGGAGCTCTCTTCATATGACTGCTTCGGGCTGGTATTCTGGTCATGGAAGGGAGTGGATGTAGCCGTGGGTATGAAATAAGTCATGGCATAGTCAGTATTCATAGTGTTGGGGAATGTGGACATGGAGATTGCATCGGGGAGATCTACCTGCTCCAGTTCGGCCCAGCTGTGGTCCGTGTAGCCGGCTTTAGTGCTTAGGAAACCTTCGTTCACAATAAATGACGTCTGGGCGGCCGTCAGACCCGTGCCAGACCCTGTTGACATTTGGAGCAGCGGATGGGAAGCCTCCAGTTCAATGTCGGACAACTGCTCGAAGAGGTTATGCCCGTACGGCAGCTCGGCAGTTTTGGCCACCGTGGTGGGCGGCGTCCCCGCGGGACAAGATATGGGAAGTGTCGGAAATGTGACCTGATGAGCTCCTCCGTTGTATTGGGTGTATATTATTTACAATCCCTTTATATTAATAATGGGCGGTCAATTGCACAGCAACTTGTCGATTTTGCCTCCAGCAACACGTGATAATTTCCCAACTATCTATTCGATTTTCTACAGAAGGCGTTGCTTGCCGTTTAACTTGTCTGCTGCCGTATCCTTCAAACTAATATTCACGTGCCAAAATGTAAAAAAAAGGGTTTAAATATAAGTTTACAAAAATTGAAGAAAACAAATTTACCCATCAAAAAAACCGCACGAAGCTACGCACAACTACAGATGCAAATAAAACAAAAAACTCGCAACCAATATATATCTCTCGCTCTAATTGCATGATGTTCCCGACTATCCCATCACTAAAAACCAGTGCCCATCACTGAAAGTTGCGTGCCGCTATTTGCGCCATCTGGTTTTTGCGTGGCTGGCGTCAAAATGAAAAAAAAAAATATAATTTGCAATTAGGATCAACGCATAGTCGAATGGCAGAACAAGTAAAGCATCTGGATGATCCTGATAAATCGGAGAACGACAGAAAGCATTTAAAAGGCCCAACAACGTCTCCTGTGCCCTGATGGCCGTACACGGTCCAATCTCCGATCCGTCTTCCGATGGTCTTCATGGGCATCAAACCGGATTCGGAGATGAACGGTTTTTTTTGCGAACGTGAAAAAACACTGCAGCCAAGGCTCCTCGGCAATATTTAGCGAGGACACACTGTTCTTCTTTATTTGGCCCGATCAACACATAAAGTCGAGTTAGGACTACTTAACATTCGCTGGGAAGGATTCGTTGATTTTGCGGGAGACCATGGAATGTGGACGCGTTTTCGCTTCCTTGGAATTTCAGCAGGTGGCGAAAAAAGATGAGCAGCGTCGCTACCAGCTGCGTCAGAGTGCGAAGAAGCAAGCCTTCTACCTATCATTTTTATTTCCAATTGACAACTCTTTCTTGATTCTTATCGCATTCCATCTGTTTCTCCTACAGTACGTTTGTAAGTTTCATTGGTGAAGTTCCATTTGGACGAGGAACTGCTACTCGCTGAACGTGCCAACCTAAAGTGCCACTTCCGTGCTAGCGAAAATGGTCTGCGTCTACAAGTACAAGTCCCTTAATGAATTATTTGATATGATCTTCAGTACCCCGCATTTCTTCTATCGCGAGGACTCGGCGACGAGGCGGTAAGCCGTGTCTGCGTTGATACCGGCATTGGCGGTTTCTACCTTGTGGGGAAGTTGAAGGCGCCGGAAGACAGGGCCGAATCTATAAAGGGAGACATCGAGGCGATTAGCTACAAGGCTTGGAAGATTATCGAGCTAATGGATAACAAGTTAAACGATTCTATGAGAGACGCTCTAAACAAAGCGGTTATAATTGGCTTCCTGGACGCCACAGACGGCATTAATTTACGCAAACCGTCGGCTCAGTTCATTGGGCATCGGGCAAAAGATACAAAACATTGTACGGCGGTGACGCCACGTCTTTTTCCATCACAGAATCTGGATTTTCATACACTCCTGACCGCAGACAAGGGATGCTCGTCGATGAATGAATTTTAAGTATAATTGAATACTAATAATAAAGCTATAAGTTTCAACACAAGAATTTTTTTGAGAATCAACAGAACATAATCGGGGTCGAATGAATTTCTAATTTTAATTGAATAAGCGAAATAAATGTCCTCTAAAAATTGTATTCATACAACATATGAATATGGGATATCTCCAAAAAATCAACCGCAATTTTCGCAGTTTGTGCTACATTTGCTACATTGCTACATCAAAAATCAAAAATAACGATGGCTTCGATTTGCTAAACCAGGGATGTGAAAATTCGCTTCCTTTGCAACACTGAGAGACAGTATTGGGTGGCGTGTGCAAGCCCCAACAGCAGTGCATTTCACTCTCATAGTGCTAGTCGTTCTTCAATCCAGCGTTTAAAACCCCTCAGAGCAATATAAACTAAAGCCATATGATACAGTATCATAGAGCAAAGACGCTCGATTTCCGGCCTGAGCAATAAAAAACAAAAGTTTGGTGTGTGTAGTGTACAGAAATAGCTAAGAACTGCGGGGAAAACGCGGCGCAGCAAAGTGGAAAAAAGCATAGAGAAAGGAGAGAGAGAGAGAGAGAGAGAGAGAGAGAGAGAGAGAGAGGGAGAGCGAGTGATAGATAGGGCTGGTTGCTCCGGTGCGGTGGTGGTTATGGTGGGTCCGTGTGTTATCGCCGTTCGCCCCGAAGCATTGACTTGCTCCAAATTTACGGCGCAGGCGCAGAACCGCACATAAAACCTCTCTCTCTGCTCGCGCTCTCTGCGTGTGGTATCAGTGGGCAAGTGGGAACGGGAGCCCCTCCAAACAGGATATTTTATTATACTGAAATTCATACTGAAACCCATACGCATACACACACCCACACACGCACGGAGTAACGTAGGAGTAGAGCGCAGGAAATTCGCATTTTCAGGCCAGAAGCACTCGGTGTGTAGTAAAGCGCGCTCCACAAGCAAAAGCTTCGCATTGCCATTCGGACGCATTCCGTTGCTTGCTCGCTGCTGCATCCATCACACTTACACAAACACAAACACCCTTGTGCATACACTCTCTCACACTCACACACGTGCAAAAATCAATTAAAAGCAAAGAGGAATATACAAGAGATAACAGAAAAAAATAGAGATAAAATAAAAGTTTGAGAGTTGAATTTTTTCGTGGACAAAAAAACCGCTCGCCAGCGAACATGTCGAAATTAACTGTGAAATGTGCAAAAGCTCACAAGTTACGCAAAAAATGCCGCAGCAAAAACGTCGCAGTCGCAGTCGCCGCAGCAGTCGCAATCGCAGCAGCACCAGTGGAGAGAAAAATGTGAAACGGGCAACGAGAAACGAGAAACGAGCAACGAACAGCATCATCAGCAGCAGAAGCAGGGAGAAGAGTGCAGCAGCGTACAGAGTATGCCCAAAAGTGCAAGGATGCATCGTCGTGCCATTGACCACCGAACCAGCAATTCGTCTCTAACACTAAATCCAGCAGCGCCTACAACATATACTAAATCCACGTAGCCCAGGCCTCGTCGCATCCACCCCACATTGTCACTGTCGGACGGACAAACGGACGAACGTTGTGCCGGAAGCGCTGCACCAGCAGCACTAGAATCAGCGGAAATTAAAACAAATCGAAGTCGAAATCGAAATAAAAAGCACTCACACAGAGAGAGGCAGACAAGAGACAACGGTAAGGAGAGAGACAGAGAGATAGAGAGGGAGAGAGAGAGAGCAAAAAGAGTAACGGAGTGTATTCTACGTTGCATCAGATTTACAACACGGCACATTTACTACCGGTTACTGCAGCTGGCTCCGGTTCCGGCTACTGCTCTCAGCCCTCCCCCTTCCACTACCATTACGGGTGCATCCACCTCCTTTCGCTCCTTTTGGCTGGTGCTGATGATGATGATGATGATGTTGTTTGCAATTTGTGATTTCATGTTTTCATAACTCGGCCAACCGTTGGCACGGATTAGACAAAACGTCGAGCGTCGGGCATCAAGCGTCAGCAGCCTTCAGGACAGGCTTCCTGTACCAAAGTGCAGGTGAGTGGGCACGCGGGTACGGGTCCGGGTATGGGTACGGGCACGGGCACGGGCACGGGCACGGCTATGATGGGATAAATCCTTTAAGTCGCAAACTATTCAGGGCGGAAAGCTCCTGCGATGTGGAATGACAGTTGATTGTGTCGAGTGGCCGTTGGCTGTTAGATATTCACTGTAAATGAAAAGCGTAACCCGGATCAATGCAAATGTCATTGGTGCTAAGGGTTACCCTTCAATATAAGGATTTGACAATAGGATTGAAACAGGACCGGGTGTCCACGTATAGCTGTAAATAGTATACGAGCTGTAAGAGATTCTGCGGTGATGGCTTTAGTAAAATACCCATAAAAGAGATTCCTTTAAAAAAAAAACTAAAGTCAAGTAGATTTATATATTGAAATTCTTCGTTCAAAGTCAAAGAAATATTTGTAGCACTCCCCATTTAGATTAAATTTCTGAAGATGTAATTTCCACTTATACTTCTTCTTCTGGGTTGAAGTCCTTTATTACATTTGCCTCCGGAAGTTTAAATTATTTTATTTTTTAATTAAGAAAGGAATTTCTTCACAAACCAAAGCCCCCCACTCCCCCGCAATCATAACAGAACATTTCATCAAAACAATGGGAGAGCCAAAAAGAGAGAAGTCTTATATGTGGCTGTTACTCGCCCAGCATCAAAGTCTTTACAGTTCTACCCCCAGGCACCCAGACCTAAAGGCCAGAGAAAAAAAAAACAAAATGAAAAATAAAGCACAAAAAGGGAAAAAGTATGACGGGGGGAGGAGGGAAGATACGAAAAGCAAAACATTAACCGCGACATTAACAATCAGAAATGTTACTTTTTTTTTTCTTTTTTTTTTGCCACATTCCACCACCACATCCCCCAGGACCCCCAAACTACCCTCAGAGTTAAGAGCTTTGCTCCAATTTTACAGGCAAACAGAGGAGAAAAATTCGCGTGGGGTTCCAAAACACACAAAATGTTGAGGGAAAAATAGAAGGAAATTCAGTGAAAAAACCTAGTAAAATAGCTATGGTGCTATAAATGCAGCAAAATGGTTGCAAAATAGAGAAATAAATAATAGCTATAGCGGAAGCCGAAAAGTGAGAAAACGTCATATTTTCTATGTTATAAGCCCTTGGATTACTCATGGTTTCTCTTGGGAAAGCACGACCTACTGCTTGGAAGATTGTAAATCGTTTTAGAGATCATTTTAGATAGTTGGCGTTGCAACAGCTGAAAGAAGTAAGAAAGCTGACGCTTCTAGAAGTTGGAGAACATATTTATAACTACTACACTGTCTCCAAGAAAATTATTGTTACCAATAGCTGCGCCCTCAGAATTCTCTGCCAGCATCTCTGCTTTAATCCAAAAAGTTGTAGCTAGAAGTAAGCTGTCAGGGGCGTCTTCAGAATGGCAATAAATACTCGTATGTGCTTCAAATTATGAACAGAATATAATGGAAAAAGAACATGTACTCATGATTAAAATGATTAAAAAACCCCCTACTAAATACTAAATTTTTCCAAAATTGCCATGCAACTCGTTTGTTATGTTAAATAATATTCTGCTTTGCTTTAATAATATAATTAGAGAGAAAGGCAGAGAGAGGATGTCTCTGTCCTGTGCACGTGGTGCTATCGTCAACAGTATCCCATTGAAGTGTGCACCGTAATTCCATCCTTTGAATCTGCATTCCCTAATTAGATAAAACCCTCCCCTTCGCACACTGGGGAAAGCGGTTTTCCTGGTCGGTTTCCATGGTTTTGTACATATTTTTGGTAGTTCAACGCGACTCTGACTCTCTGCCCAGTGGCGAGTGCACTGTCGCCTGGTGACAGAACAGCGTGCCAGATTAGGACTTGAAAGCGGCAACAAATGCCACATGCGGCGCCATGAATGCATGTGCTTCAGTGTGTGTGTGTGTGTGTGTGTGTGTGTCTGGAAATCCATAGAGGGGGAGTGCCGCTCAGTCTCCACCCTTGTGACAGTCGTCGCTGTTGCTGGTGGTGGTTCGGTCTCGGTCTCGGTCTCGTCCTCGTCTTTTGGGTGGTGCCACTACATGCCAGTTAATGTCTGCGCCAAAGGGGCTGGCAGCACGAAATGGAGATAAACTTGAACGCAGCAATAACAATATCAAAAAATGCGATGGGGTTAGGATTGGGTCCGAAAAAAAAAAACAGAAAACAGAAAAAAAGAGCAATCGATAAATCCGCTATGCTTTCTCTACACTGGATCCCCTCTTCAACGCTGCAATGCCGGCGGGGGGTGCAGTTTACACTGGGAAACAAAGGGGAGTAAAGTGAAAATATATTGACCGAAAACGTAGGCATAGCACAAGTAAAGAATTCACCGAAAAGAGAGAGAGAGAAAACTAAGATTCCTATCAGTCGTTATAGGTTGCATTGATCGACATCATTAAAAGCACAAAAAAAGTACACTCAGCGAAAAATGGCATACTTAATACGAAAAAACACAAACATATTTAAATTAAATATTCAGTTTTTAGTAAAATTAAAAGGAATGCACCTTGACTTGAACATAAATGTGTTAAAAAAGTATTTTTAATATGTTCCACATTTAATTAAAATATTAAAAACATTAAAATAAATGTAAAATATTAAATCTGGTAGAAAATATATTTTATTGTTATTAATTTAATTTAAATATAAAATTTGCTTTAAATATAAAATACATTTCAATCAAATATTTTCATAATAATTTCAAAATGTAATTGAACGAGGGGGAACGTTGTGAGTTGCTGCGGACACCGCAACTCTACGGTTATACCCGATACTAAGTCAGTATGGCTCTCCTCCGGCAGACGCCGCTAATATTAAACGACACGACAAAGAGTGCGTGCGAGAGAGACAGAAAATCAGTCTGAGCGTGACGTCGGGCGCTGCGTAGCCAGTGCAAATTGATTTGCTCCTTTTGGCTATGAAAATGATCTGATCTGATCCAGATTCAGCAACCTGATAGATATGGTTATTATCTATGATTCTGCGTTTTTAGTTTTCTCAAATCTGCAATATTGTGGATGCAACAGATTTTCGTCCTTTGTGGGGGCGGATGGGGGTGGGGCGAAATTCTGAGATATACGTTTTATAGTGACATCTTAAAGGAGTGTGTGTACCAAATTTGGTTACTCTAGCCTTAATAGTCTCTGAGATTTGTGGTTGCCTCAGATTTTCGTCCTTTGCGGGGGCGGAAGGGGGTGTGGCGAAATTTGGACAGGAAACGGTCAAGGTCCGATATCACAGGAGTGTGGATACCAAATTTGGTTGCTCTGGCTTTTATAGGTTCTGAGATCCTTGAACTCATATTTTGCAATTGGCAAAACCGACCATGAAACCTGTGTGTTAGAGTGAGACAGAGCGAGAAAGAGTGAAATTGTTTTCGTGATTCTGGCTGTAATAATTATACGATCTGGTTCAGATTTTGCACTCTAGAAGATATAGTCATCTTCTACGATTCTGCGTTTTTAGTTTTCTCGTATCGTCAAAATTGTGGATGCCACAGATTTTCGCCCTTTGTGGGGGCGGAAGTGGGCGGGGCAAAGTTTTGAAATATTTTTGGAGCAGTGACATATCACAGAAGTCTGGATCCAAAACATCGTTGCTCTAGCTCTTATAGTCTTTGAGCATTAGGCGCTGAAGGGGACGGACAGACGGACAGACGGACAGACGGACAGACGGACGGACGGACAGACGGACAGACAGACATGGCTCAATCGACTCGGCTATTGATGCTGATCAAGAATATATATACTTAATGGGGTCGGAAACGATTCCTTCTGGACGTTACACACATCCACTTTTACCACAAATCTAATATACCCCAATACTCATTTTGAGTATCGGGTATAATAATTGAAAAAACTTTTTTTTTTCACAATTTTCAATCTGGAATTAAATCTTTTTTTTATTGATCAGTTCCTTTTTTAAATCGAAGTATAAATATAACAATTACAGGGCTTGTTTTTGTCTGGGTGTACTGAATAGTTGTATATATAAGAAATTTAGTTATTGAAAATCTAGTTACTGGATTGGAGAAATTAAAAATATTCCGTATAGCTGTCAGAATTTCTATGTGCAAGCTCGTAACGAAAGATACATATATGATGGGGTTTAAATGAGTGATTGTTTTTAACACATAGTTTTCCATATACTTGGTTGCACTCCATTCTATCCCTAGCATTTCTCCTAGGATTGCCACAGGTTGACCCCATTAAATCTTACAAAATAGGGAATGTACACAGAAAAATTTCACAGCCCACTGTTTACAATACCTCAAAATAAACAGCCAAACTAAACATTTGGAGATCATTTACCACAGAAATAGCTTGGTCTGTTGAGTGGTTTTTCTGCTTATAGCTATTTCTATTTTTATGTTCAACCATTAATTAATTCCATTCCCATGTTTCTTTCAGTGCGAATTATATACGCAGGAAAAAACTCCCATTTCTCGGAGCATTTTTGCTGAGTTTTGCGAATATTTGTTCTGTTTTTTATTATTTGATAAATGATTTGCAATTTCTGTTGCCCGAGGGCGGTACAGGCGGGGGCGGTTTTCGTGGAGGTTTGTCACTCATTTAGGCACACACACACACACAGATACCCGTATCCATATCCATACTTACAACGTTTGCTGCCAGAATTTATGATGTCATTATAATAAATTTTATGCGTGCCTAGACAACATTCCATTCCATTTCCCAGCGACTGCCACTGCGGCGACTGCCAGCGTTGTTCTTGTAATTGTTGTTGCTGCTCTGTTGCTTTGCCGCCTTCTAAATGTTGTAATTGCCGTTGCTGTTGCTGTTGCTGTTGTAGCAGTCCTTCCATCTGAATGTTGTTGCTGTTGTTGTTATTGCGTCTGTTTCATCAACACCCTTGCAACATATTTTTCTTGCTTGACTGCTGTACTTTGTCGCTGCTGTTGCCTAGGACACAAAGTATCTTGTATCTGCATGTTCTTCTGCTCTGCTCCCTTTGCAATAGAAGTTATGAATAGGAATTCTTCTTCTCGGTTGCACGACCAGGACAATCGCATTGAAGGCCCGGAGATGCTGCTGGCTGCCAAGGAAATCAGTTGTCGGGGCAGCAGCTGGACCCCCACGGCCCCCCCGCTCACATATGCATGGCATTCTTCTTTGTACATTTGAATGTCCTGGGCACGATTGTAACATTTTTCATTGCAATTACGGAGTAGCGGCAGTGGGGGAGTGGCTGGGCTCGTGCAGGCCAGACAAAGTGTTTTATGGCAACAAAATCTCGGTTGGAGCTGTGGGCAAAGTGCCAGCCAGAGCCATGCCCCGACTGCATACGTGCTCGCCATGACGATGACGCGACGGTCTCCAACGCGACATCATCAGGATGGCATGTACACTATGCCATGCGGTTCGCCCTGTCCATATGCCTGGTGGCCACTTAATTAAAAAATTCTTTGCCGTTGATTTTCTATTTCTCTGCGGCTGCATGCTCAGCATTGTATTGACCATACGATGGAGTCCCTCCCTTCTAGATGTTCAGTCAGTTTTGTTCCCCTGAGGGATCTGCGGCGCTAATAACTTTAATTCCAAAGAGCAGACAAGTCTGCTGCTGGGAAACATCTATTCCATCTAGTTGGAGTTGTGGTTGGAGTTGGAGCTGTGCAAGTGCAAGGGGCCATTGGGGTTTATCTAAACAGTTGCACAAGTTCTCAGCAACTGCACAGAAGCCTTCCTTCTCGTGTCGTGTAAACAATTCTCTTCCGTTCTGTCTGGCTCTGGATCTGGGTCTCGGTCTGGGGCTGCGGAAGAGCAACAGTCCCAACAGCAGCAGCAGCAAATAGTTTTTAATTAAAAATTATATCAACATTCATTAGGAGCACAGGGCAGCCCTAGCGCTTTGTTTTCTCCGAATGGAGTATGGAGTATGGAGAAAAGACATTAGCAAAAGCATCTAAAAGTGTTAACTTATTGTTTATTGTGCAAGTGCAATGAAAATCCATTTTTATCTATTCTGGAAAACATTTTCCATTACCTTGCACAAGAGAACTTAAAGAGGCTTGCTTTCAAACAGCATAAAAGATGGTTTTGGTCTGAAAGCAGAGCAAGCAGCTGGGTCAGGGGGCAGGAGGCAGGGGGCAGGGGGCTTTGAAGCGAAGTTAAGTTGCGGAAACCAGGCCAACACAATTAGCCATAAAGGCCAGTCAGCCGCTAGCTGCCTGCTGGGGTCCTAGGCTCCTTCATTTGCATAAATATCTGTGTGTGTTTGTGAGTGTGTGACAGGCTGGCAAGGCCCAGCCAGCACTCGCCTACATGGAATTTCGATTCGAGGCAATGACAAGTGCTGAAATGTATTGCATATTTTTTAGGGCTGCCCAACAGTCAGCAAAGTGTCAGCAGAAGGCAGGCGACCCATTTATGTCCTCTATTTTATATACCCTTTCCAGAGGCAATGATAATTTGGCACATCATTTTGCAGTGCACCAGAGGCCAGAGGAGTGCAAAGGCTATAAAACATATACATATGTATGTGTATGTTTTCCCTAAGTTGAGAGATATTTATGGGGATATCACTCTGAAGACTTCTTCCAGTGAGACTTTTAGAACTTTGGTATGCCAAGATCTGGAAATAATGTTTTTTTTTATTTATTTATTTTGGACAACCCTTTCTGTTCCATTTTCCCCTGTTTGCCCATCACCCATACCCCGTGCTCCGTTGGATATCTGTCTGCTTAACGAAGAACATTTTATTTGGCCATAGACGACGGACGGACAGGGCTAAGGAGCAGGGCAAACATTGCATTATCAGCGCCATAAAATCAAACGCAGACAGTTACTCGATATATGCATAATACAGGCACAAGTGTGTGCGTGTGCATGTGTGTGGGTGTGTGTGTGTGTGTGGAGAGAACTGTCCAACTCCTCGAGTGCCGCCTTGTCAGGCAAATGCATATGACACATGTCAGAGCAGGTGGAGCCGGTGGAGCCGGAGAGACGCAGAGTGGGAGAGCCCGAGGCTCGCGAAGTGTAAAGCTTCATTAAGTTAAACACGCACACGATGCCTGTCACAAAGTGTATCTGTGTGTGTGCGCTGTCTGTCTTTCTGTCTGGCTGGCTGTGCGTGTGCGAGTGTGCGTCAAGTGACAGTAAATACTTGCTGATGTGTTTGGGGGCCCAAGCTTTTGACAGTTTTTAACTCATTATTCCCTCTCTGCTCTACCCATCTGCTTGCAGGAATCTACATCTACACGAGCAACGAATAAATTGAACTTGCATTTTTATATCAATTTTTATAAGCAACCAAATGGAACGTGTTCAGCAGCATTCATCCAATGCCATCGCCATCGCCATCGCCAAAGCCATCGCCATTTTGCCATCTTGCATCATCATCGGTTAGATAAGAGTCGGCAATTCAAAGCTCAGTTGCCACACGACCACGACCAACCCGCCCCCCACCCCTCCCCCAGCCAAGGAGAAGGGCCAACGAAAAGGAAAACAATTCCCCCATCGGATACCCACTAATAAATGCAGTGGAAGAAGAAGTTTACTCGATTGAAAGCAGCTACTGGAAATTCGCGTGTGCGAAGAATGCTTTGTTGTGGACGTAGAAAGGTGAGTGGATCGTTGAGTAATTACTATTTTCGATCTGAACTTATTTAAATTATATTACGCGGAAATCGTTCCTAATTTCCATAGGGTTTCCATAAGGTTATTTAATTTCTGCGAAATCTTTAATTGAAAACGCTTTTATTGTTATGTACTATGGGAACGATAACATTGAAGAGATTTCGAGATACATTGAAGACTATTGTCGGGTCGACTTTGGTCGATTCAAGATGATGTCAGTGGCAAAGTAATGCAAGACTGTACACAAACCATTATATTTTTTTAAATTATTTTTTTTGTTCTACAATCCTAGTGTTACAAGATATATTTAGGGCACTAATCAAACAAAATGTTTTTGAATCATATAAATATGTTAATACATTTTTTATTTAAATAATTTGGTTTTTATTTGTTGTTTCTTATTTTATTGTATTTTATTTAATTTAATTATTAGTTTAATTTTGTTATTTTGTTTGATTGGGAGCTGAAGGAAGCATATGTATGCGTTTGCTACAGTGGGCATTGCAAAGATCGAACACTAACTGAGAATTACTTTAGGCTGCACCACTAGCTATGAATTCTACATTTAATTGCTAATATCGGGCTGCAGATGTTTGATGTTTAGTATTTCGTACAAGTGGATCCATCTAATACTAGAACTGGCGGAGGCTGTTCGGAGTAAGAAGACCTTTAAACCGCGTACTAATTATACAGTGCTTAGCCCGTTTTGGATTTTCGTCAAACGATGGAAATGTGCAAATAAATCCTCTGCCTTCCTTAGTTTCATCTCCGATTAGCTAATCTGCAGCTATGCTATCATCGAGTAAAGTAAAGTAAAGTAAAGTGGAGCGTGTCAAGCTGGCTTCAATCTGTCAGTCAGTTAGTCAATTGGCTTTCGGGGGCAGCTGTACCTGCGTCCGTACTCAGGGCATCGTTTTCGTGGTTTCCATAATAAATTTACATTTTACGCCTGAATTTCAATGAAGGCTTAATTGCGAAATCTGATTTATATGCTGTTGTTGCTGTTGCTGTAGTTGCTGCTGCTGGCGGAGGAGCGTGGCTTGCGGCTGTGCCACACATGCGGCAAATGGCGGCGGTGGTAGGGGAGGGATGGTTGGATGGGGGAGTTGGAGTTGATTCACCTTGTATCTGGGCGGTGCTTACACACAAAGGACAGCGAAACATGTTGCCGCCACCTCCCCACCTCCCCACCTCCCAGACAAATTCAATTACGTGCCTCACGAGAAATGGGATCCATCTATCGGACTTTAATCATTTTTACCGCATAAATTTAATGCAATTTTGTGAAATGAACTTGCGCCATCGAATGCTGAAAGAGTAATTGGGCCCGAACAAAAAGGTTTAATCTGCCACATGCACCCTTCCACCTACCACCTGCCACTTGACAGCACTTAATTTGATTGAGAGCCGAGACCCTAGACCCGAGCCCGAAGCGCAGTCGAATGGATAAGAGTATTATTTGCTCATAGTTTGTGTTTACTCGATAGCTCCTCGACTACCGCCTCCATTACTTGCCCCTTCATTAGGCAGCCAACGGTGCAAGGTGTTCTAGTTTTGTGTTGCCTTAATCTTGGAAAGGTTTCCATCACTCTTTCATCACCTTTCCGAAGTTGCTTCTGTGGCGCGACTCTTCCTCGGGTGAAACTTTATGACAAAGTCCTGGCTCCTGGCGCATAAGTCCCCAAAGATGCGGAGCTTGCCAACGCATTTGGAGCGCAGCCACGCCTCGCAGCCGCCTCGCAGAACACCCTCTGGATAAACCAGCCCGCACTCTGCAGCCTCTGCTGTTTGTTTTAGTTATTGTTGTTGATTATTTTCCCTTTTGCCGCTGCGCTAAAAACTTTGACTTTGGCGCTCTCTGATGTCGCAAAGTTTAACAAATAAATTAATTTAGTTGCTGCACTGACGGCCCCGCGTTCCTCGGGGAGGAGGAGTCCCTCTCTCTCTCGCTCTCTGCCGCAGCCAAAGAATTCAATTTTCGCTGGCGGCACATTAAGCCTCGCCTGAGTGGGCCCAAAAAGCGGCAAGCGGCACTCAAGTGGGAATTGCCTGGGATTTCCATTCAATCTCAAGCTAAGAAAGGGTATCCGAAAAGCAGCGAATGCAATCCATTAACAGCAGGGACCTCCCCAGCAAAGCATATCCCAAAGGAGGGGCAAAGGACGGTATCTACAGTATTAAAAAAACAGACACTCCTTCTACTGAAGTTCAAGTGTGAATCGCTATCCTTGCCGCGGTGAAATCTCACTCAAATCGAAGGCTAAAATGTTTCGAATTAGAACTCAAGTCCTTTTCTCTCCAAAATCTTAGCGAGAAAAGAGTGTGTCCGATGTTCGTTTTTTCCGTAAGAATATTTTTTCGCCACTGCCACTGCCTCCTTGATTTAAATTGCATTTTCTTGGCGTTAAAGTTTTTCTTATAGTTTTCTGCTCCGCTCCGCTCCGCTCTGTTTGCTTTTATGGGCTGTGTGCTGCCGTTTTCTTAATCAGTTTTGTGTCAGGCCAACAGCAAATTGATTTGTTAAGCAATTTTTAATTGAAATGGAACGCTGTCGGGCAGAATGTCAAACTTTTTACCCCAATACTTGCCAGGTTCGCCTCGAGCCTGACTGCTGCTGCTCCCTTGCCTGGCACTTGAACAGCAGAAGCGGCAGGAGCAGCTCCACATGGCACCCAAAAGTTGGTCAAGTGAGACGCGTTGGCATTTCTATTGGCATACGCGACGAGACGAGTGCTGAGTGTTGACTGGCAGCCAAACAGGCAACTGAGAGCAGGTTGGGGCCGGGGGTTTGGCAAAAATCAGCATATTGAATTACCAATTGCAGGGGCGGGGCCCTGCCCCCTGAAACGTGATTGTTTTCGTGTCTGGCTGCATTCCTGCTGCAGCATCCAAGCGTGCAATTTTCAGTTGCATCATCCTTTATTTTCTGTGTGTATTTTTGTTGTTTGCTGGAATTTCAATAAATTCCGCATCGGTATCCGCGGCGGCATCCAGGATCAGGATGAGCTTCTGGGCAGTAAATTATTTTGATTTATGTGCAGCCATGCATGAGAGTGATGTGAAGTGGCGCGAATGTGAATTTTTCACCATTTAGCTGCCATTTGAAATTTAATTGAATGCCAGCCACGCAGCGCGCTTCATATGCCCCTCAAATGCCGACAGATCGAAATGCAGCAGCTCTTAAATGGTTTGCCTGATTAGTTGCCTGCCTTGATGGAAAAGTTTATGGAAAATAAATGGAAAAGTTCCGCTTTTGCGTTTTGCGTTTTGCGTTTGTGGATGCGGATGTGGGAAAGTTTTTCTCTCGCAAACAGCGGCACGTTCAGCGCCGGGAGATCCCAAGCGAGTTCCTGGGCCCACTATCCTTTCTATCTGCCGTTTCTGTGTCGAGTCGAGTGCCATTCACAAATAAATGGCGGGCATTTAGGCAGCCGCATTCCGAGGGATAGGGGGGGGGGGGGGAATCTTTTCACGACTTCCATTTTGGGCCAACAACAATTGGCAGCGCCACAGATACAGATAAACAGAAATTTAAGAGATAGAGAAAGAGAGGGAAAGAGACAGAGAAAGAGAGAGAGAGACAGAAACAGAGAGTCTTATATAGAAAATTTTGCCTCAATGCAGATAAGAATATTTCCTCAGCTGGAGCTGTAGTTGGAGCGATGCCTCTCATAGATACACAAACACACACCAGCACAGATTCACACACACACAGACACACACACGAGAAGCGGTGGAAAGTTTTGCCCAAGACAAACACTGCCACAGCATCATCTTCTGGCGTCTCTTAGCGGCTTCTGGCTTTCCCAATATTTATTTTTTCTTTGTAGTTTGCTCCAACCAGAAGGTTTTCCCTTCCGCCTTGGTGCACTTCCTCTCCGAGATCGTGCGGTGTGGTTGTTGCCCCATGATTTCAAGAAGAAGAAAAAAAGAATAAAACTATTAATTGGCAACTCTGAGGCAGCAACAAGACCGGCAGCAGGGGGCAGCAGTTGGGGCAGCGTCAGGTGAAGCCCAGATTTTTAATTGCTGCCAACGCAGCGCAAAAATGTGTGCTTTCTTTTTGGCCAAGCGCGGCACTTAATAAGCTTAATTTTTGTTGGGGGTGCATTGGCGCGGAATGTGCGGCGATAGGGCTAAGCATCCCTTTGGGGCAAGCATTGATTAACGTGGAATTGTGGCAGTCTTCCAGAAAATGGATGCCTCATTCCCATTGTAGAGCACACAGATCCGCTGCCATAGCAGTCCCTGTTGTGCTGCTTTCCTTTCTGACATGCCACAACTTTAATTATCCTGCTAAACTGTCTTTGAGAAGGTCCACGTCCACCTGCCTCTGACAGTTTCTAGAGATGAAAGATGAGAGGAGATGAAAGTGCTTGCCGCTGTGGCAAGGATAAAACTGTGGCTGTTCCCGTTCCTGTAGCAGGGGAGGCTGATAGTCATAGCAACAGATCCGAGGACTCGCCATCAATTAATCAACCACTGAGACAAAAAGATGAGCAACTTTAAGAGTTCTCCCTTTGCATACATTTCCCTGCAGATTCCAGAGTACACAATGTATGCCAGCCTGCCGAGCTACTTGTAGTTCCCAGTAGTTCCCTGAGAGCGACAGTCGGTTCAAGGACATTCTGCCTGGATTCTATGCCAACACTTGGTTTACTCGTTAGGCACTGCTTACGTGCCTGGCAGTACACCAGTGCAGTACGGCTCCGGGCTACGTGCCTTTCATTTGCGAAACTAATTGCAAAACTCTTACGCAACTGCAGGAGACAGGCGACAGGACGGCATACGACAGGCGACAGGCGACAGGACGACAGGCAGCACCACGACATATTGAAATGCTCCATATTCATCGAAGAGTTTTCAAGTTTGTTTCGTGCACGTAAAATATTTACCTGTCATTGTTCCCCCGAGCAAACAGCTCCCATCCCATTTCCCCCATCCTCGGCGGAGCAGAACGTGTTTATATTTTGCGTGAAAGATGC